ACAGTGCACAGAGAAACGTATCACGTGGAGAAAGTTTTCAGATAATTCCCATTTGTGTCAATAATAAGAATGACACAACATAAAAATGAATATGAACATACCCAGTAGTTGATTAGTGTTACCCTGGTATGTGTGGGTTGTCTGGCTCGATTCCTGGTGCTTGTAAAATGAGGTGTTTTCGGCATAAATTCAAAAGGGCAGCTCACAAGAACGCATTAAGACGAGAGAGAGAGAGAGAGAGAAAAGTGGGCGGAGCGTCAGAAGACGCTTATCAATACTCATGATCCCTACAGAAATAACAAGAATCCACTTGTTCCCTCTATGTTCTGTAAGTGGGAATGGTAGTGGCGTCCTGGTTCTCTTGGGAGGCGGCTTGCGTCGGGCGCAATTGAGACATTGCATGCACCATCTCGTGACCGATTCCTCCATGTTTTCCCAGTTGAACATTGATTTAACTTTCGCATACATCTTGTTAATTCCCAAGTGTCCAGCCGTTTGGCAGTCATTGAGTTGCTTCATCACATCTTTCCTGAAGGCCCGTGGTACCACCAGAAGCTAGCGTGAATGTGTTGTGTCCTCATTCCATCGCCTGTACAGTATACCGTCACGAAGTCGCAGTTGTTGTCACAAACACCACAGTGATTTCAACCACGCTCTTTCAGCAAAACACGTCTGCCCATGAAGGTTTAGGGGTCCCATTTTCTAGCCAGCACATTACTAATTTTGCGCAGGGTAGGATCCTCCATTTGCTATTCCCTCATATCCTCAAAATGTGCACCCATGTATCCTGCAATGCGAAGATATTTCTCGTATAATGTGGTCGATTGTCATTTGGTGGTGCGCTACAGGGTGCGCTATCAGGTTCACCCTGTTCTGTCTTGTCTGGATACCCCTCTGCGTTGGGAGATTCCTTACTCAACGTTTCCCGGCTTTGTTGTGGTTGTATTTTGGTTTCCTTTTCCTTTTTATCTAACTTCCTTGACTCTGAGCCCTCCTTGACTTCTTGCCGAATGCGTGACACTGGATATTATGCCGCATTCTGGACATCGCGTCGGCCTTACCATGTTTCGGGCCTGGTCAATGCTCGGTGTCCAATGGACCGATCCAGTAAGCCCCGCCCACTGCGCACTGGACAAAATAACACGTGCTCCTCTCCAATGCCACACTGCATTTTCCTGCCGTGCGCATCATACGCGCGTGCACGCACGTCGGACTTTTGTGCACGCACGTCGGACATAAATCACGGCTGTGATTGGTCAGAACACCATGGGGCGGTGCTTACTGGATCGGTCCATTCGTTCTCTGCGAGTACTTGAAGCCACCTGACAACTTGTTCTTCTGGCTCCTTAAAATTAAAGAGCCAACGGAGAGACCCATGATCTGTTCTCCGAAGAAACCTTTGTCTGTAAAGATATGGCCCACTAGCAGCCTTTTGCAACCGACATCAACCACACAACCTTGTTGCTGCATCAAATCTAACCCAGAAGAACATCATTATGAATGTCTGCTATTACGAGGTCATGGCGAATTTTTTTCCGCCCGTTAGGAGCTCAACCGTCGTCTCTCCATGTACTTTCAACAGGGTGTCGTCTGCCAGGTACGCATGTACGGTAGACTTACTGCAGGTCTGGAACAGTGGTTCATTCTATGAATTACTTTTTCAGACACGATGGACACCGTTTCCCCTGTAATGAGCATCATTTGAGCATCCACTATATTTACTTGTCCAAGTATGTGAAGCCCAGCGCCATTTTGAAATGCCGTTCCGCTGGAACACAACTTTTGTGTGGACCCTTCCTTCTGATGGACTGACCCCCGGTCCTTGAAACCAGCCTTTACATGTTTTCCTAGTCCGTGCTCCTTGACTCGGCTGTCAGTTTTTTGGACAATCCTTCTTGAAGTGGCCCAAGTCTCTGCACTTGAAACATCCTCTTCTGTCTTTGAGAGAACGACTCTGTTGTGTTAGGGCCTGGATCTGTTGCGCTATTAGTTCTAGCTGGTTTTCTAATTTTGCGATTTGGTTATCAACAACTGGGTTCATCTTTGCCGCCATGGCGCTTTCCACATCGCCTTCAACAACTCTGACCCTTCTGATGCTGTTTTCCTTTTCCGCGGTCAAAATGGCCTGAAACTCAATAGCAGCGGTTACCGCTTCTTCCTGACTGCCCGAATGCATTTTGTAGGATTCGTGCACCAAGCACTGGTGCACCAAGGGATGCGTCCGGATCCATGATGTGCATGATGTTGAGCAGGATGTTGAGAGTTAATTGCGCCATGGAGGTAGAATTAGTGCCCGCCCCACCATGCCTAGGTCTGGATTCGATGGTACCTTGTGACGTATACATACAAACATCCTAACTTCTTACGTGCACCAGTACAACCCCAAAGAACTCAGCACACACATAAAGTTGGCGAAAGTGAACACTACTGCGCAATTTTGTGCATGCGTGTTGAAGCGAAATTTCCAACTTGGAGAAGCTAGCACGCCGGAGAAGTGAGACCGTGACACCGGTTCCGACGATTGCATATGGACTGTTTTACCCGAACCTATCGTGGCCATCAGTGCAAAGATATACGGCGTCTGTTGCTGTTTGGATCAGTCTCCCGGTGCCCCGGTGCCGACTACTTGATCCACTCCGTTTTTTCCACACCCTGCGAAGCCACCGGTGCCCTGGTGCGTGCACTGATATACGGCATCGGTTGCTGTGCTGTCGTAAACCACTTTGGCGAAGTCTCCTTGCGTCCCGATATAAACAACGTTTGAAGCCGCTCCGCGTTTCCCGCACCCTGCGTCTGTTGCTGTATTAATTCAACTGACCACTGTGGATCAATCTCTCGGTGCCCGGTGCCCGGTGCCGACGGTTGAAGACGCTCCCCGTTTCCCGCACCAGTACCCTGCACTGCCATCGGTACCCCGGTCGGTGTCTCGGACGGCAACCCGTGGGTGAAGTGTACCAATGTATACGGTATTTGTTGGGCTGGAAGTGTCGACGTCGGCGAAGTCTCCTCCCCCAACTCACCAGGTACATCGACTACGCAGTGAAATGACTCCCCGACAAGGGTTGGCGAAACTGGCTGTAGCGTGTGAAACCGAGGGAGGGGGGGGTAAATTAAGAGATAAAACAAACCGCTGTCACCAAATGAGTGTTTGGTCAATGGGTTCTAGATGACGGATGTGATTTTCCCAGGAGTTTGCCAACAGAGTACTGTAACACATTGATGGACAAGACAAGACCTTGACATGGACGAAAGAAATCTGACCAGGAGACGGGTGCCTCAGTTTTTTTTTAATTTTGATCCTCAACAAATCACTAATATGTCAATCACTTTATAACAATACTTGCTGGTAATTTCCACAATGATTCACTTTAATTCAAGCAGGGTGTGCTGTCCGTCAAGGGAGATTCGGGCTCGAGTCCTTTTTGGAAGTTCCGCAGCGAACAACCGTTCCGCTCCAAGCTATCACAACAAAACCTTTCGTGCGCGCGTAATCAACTTACACATTATAGGCCTACTCATCGATCTCCATCATTAGTAAATGGAGATCGATGAGTATCAATGATTATACTGCACTGCTAGTCTGCGCCTGCGCGACAGGCCCTACTCTCCAGGCGGACAGCACCACATAATCGCTACAGTATATACTGGCTTCTAAGACGTAGAACACCGTCAAGGGGTGTTGTGAAGGAGTTGGGGTGCCAGGGCGCCCTCTTTCCAGCCGGTTAACCATTGAGAATGACCTAAACTCGTAAATTTTCTTCTTTATAGTTTGAGTCTGTGTGTGCGTGTGGTAAAAAGAACTGTTCTCTCTATAGCCCAAGATTTCCTCAACCCAGTAACACTGCTTTTTCTGTCTAGAAAAGTCAATTCAGCGGCAAGTGGACGTCTTCAGGCAAGCCTCGGCTACACACAAAAACTCAGTTTTTAGCTAACAATATCACAAACTTATAAAAATATAAAATGGCCAATTACACACCTTTTCTTAAATGGTAAACGTTACTGAACATTATGGCCATGACTTCAGACATCGATATTTAAAGAGATCCTAACGCACAAATAAAAGACAGTTTTCGTATACTAAGAACAAAACAATCAGTGTAGAATTTTGCCGGCAACTGGAAAACAAATTACTTCTAACTAAAATCATGACTCACCAGTATTCCTCTGATGTTTATTCATCTTAACTGTTTTCGAAGGTGGAAAATGGCACGTTCAATACTTCAAGTAGCAGTTCGATGTGAATGAAACTTCAGAAATCGACTAGCGTTCAGTTGCGAAGGCCCGGAAAGGCACGAGAGGGTGCTAGACCAAAATTAGTGTAAAAAAGATGGGCAGGGCCAGGGAACCCGGGAGAGCATTACATGTGTAAAGTCGCTGGCTAGTAGTGCAGCTCTTCAGAAGCAGGCGAAAATCGGGCTAAAATGCCGGACTACTCTGTCAGCAACTTCCGCTGAAATTCAGGCTATCGCCAGAAACAGAATTCTCAAAATCCAAAATAAGATTTAGTACAATGTGGCTAAAACACTGCCCCTAAACATCTACAGCACCTAATGTACTGGAAACACTTCAGTTAGCCAGTATTCTAATGTTTATTACATCTCGTGGCAGCACACGGTAACTGGGCATCTTGCGACCCCAGGCTGAATAGGAGGTCTCGGTGCAGCAGTGGGCCCCAGAGACATGGTGCGCAGGCCCACCAGCGTGTGGACACGCCCTGGCGCCATGTCAACCAGTGCCCCGGCTATGGATTAATTAGTCAGGAGGGGCTCGTAACCCTGGGAAGGCAGCTCTCTTAAGAGAAGGAAATCTCTAACCTCAAACAACCCATCTCGGGAGAGGAGTTGCGACTACCCAAGCACTACTTTCGCAAAAAAAAGAAGCCTAATCATGATCTTAAATCCAACGAAGAATCGTATACGGCCGGAGTCCGCAGGAAAACAGCGGAGGGAATTCGTGCGCGCTCACCTCGTGGGAATGTGTGTGAGATCGTGGTTATCAACATGATTGAGGATTACTACCTTGTCATCGCATCGGCTTGGAGAAACGAAGCTCATGCGGCAACTGGTGGGGTCGGGCTCATGCTGAGCAGAGAGGCACAGAGGTCGTTAATCAGTGTTAACCGGTCTTCTGATGGAGTTATCACTGCCTCTTTCCAAAGCAATCCAGTCCTCACCACCATAGTGGCCAACGCGCAACCTCTCCTAGCACGTGATGAGGAGAAGAGAAAGTTCTATGATGGTCTAAGACGAGCGGTAGAGGCTGTTCCCCGGCATCACATCCTTGCCATCATTGGGGACTTCGATGCCCGCCTGGGCAGGGAGACGTTCCTTTCACCTTTCATCAGGTAACAAATGACAATGGGGTGCATCTGCTGGATCTAATTGAGGAATACTCCCTTCTAGTCAACAACACGCTGTTTGAGAAGCGAAAAGGAAGGCCGTGGACGTGGCTGTCACCAGCAGGGTTGAAAGCCCAGATCGACTTCATCCGGACCTGGTGGAAGTGGCATAACAGCCTTATTAACTCTTGCACCCACAGTACCTTCTCTACACTGGGATCAGATCATAGAGTGGTGGTGACGAAGGAAGCCTCCGAGCACCGAGTTTTGCACATAGTTCTGCAATTAGGATTCTGGTATGCTTGGTTTAATGTGTTGATATTATTTACCAGCCATTCGTCGAGATCTTTCTGGCATGCATGTTTGACCTCATTCCTCAGAGCTGTGAATTCTGGAGTGCGTATACAGCCTTCCTCTTTAGCAGAATTAGATGAAGAGTTAATTCAGACAGGTACGGCTGTTTCTTCTGGGATGTTTGTGTACCACACGTCTCGAGAGATGCTTTATGGCACATGCCACAGCTTCAAGAGAGTCACCTTGAGTAACACGGGATCGAACCAGCTGCCGAAAGACTTCAGACTATTGTTCCGACTTCAGGGCTTCAACGTTTAGACGTTGGGGTCGTAGTTCACGTACAGTAGCACAACGACGGAATTTCCACTTCAGGGTGCAGATTACTAACCGATGGTCAGTATCAAAGCAAGTGCTGTAGGAACGGCAGTCAGTCAGCTGGTCCCTTGCTTGTGTGTTAATTAAGATGTGATCAATGGTGTTTCTTGCGTTTCTCAGTGCCCTGCTGATCCAAGTAACCTTGGGAGAAGATCGTTTGAGAAACCAGGAGTGTACGGCAGTGGACTGTTATCCATGCAGAAATAAATCCAGCCCAGCATACTTATAAAAAAAACAAATCTGTACATGTAAACTGTATCATTTCATAACTGATAGGAATATCACCATGTTGTAAATTGTACAAAGCATTCACTGAATAAGTGTAGTAGTGACACCTCATATAAGCAAATCGCCATTGTGAATTTGTGTGGTCTTCAGAACAACCGATAAAAACTCAGTTAGACCCCTCTCATACCAATACGTGAAGCCATTTCGTGGCCACTTCGAGGTGTCCGTGGGCGCAAAAGTTTAAAAATCGAAGTAACCACGAAATGGAATCGGATCTCACGGGTTGCCACGAACTAACCACGAATTAAGGGCGTGTCGATACTTCCGTGGGCTGATTCTCACGGATGCTCCACGGATCACCCAAAACGTTTTTGGATATGTTGTAAAACTGAAACGTGTGCACTTCGGAAATTTATTGCCGAATTGAAAACGTGTTCAATACGGCTTATTCGAAGTACTCTCGTAGTGTTCTCAAGGTTGGGCTGATGGTTACATCGGATTTTACGGGATGGCTCCGGATTGATTGTTGGCCTGTTTTACGGCCGTTTTCATTACGCGGTACTCGATGGTACTACGGGATTATCTCGTGGCAACTACATCAACATGTCCTTTCCACCTCGGGAAAAAGCTACCATGGACTGTCCAACTTCGACCTCAGTACGTCTATTACGTTTTTATCTCGTGTCGCCTTCTGAACAACTACGATTTCATTGCGTGCTCACCGTTTTTCATCACGTGGGAAACGTTGTCACATCGACCTGTACGTTTTTATTACGTTTTAATGTCGTGGTCATAACGTTGTCCCCCCTCGTCGCCGTTTCAATTATGTGCTGTTCTCGTTGTTATCTCGGTTTTGGGGCTCTCGGGTCCATCCGTGGTGTCCGTTTTCGCTATAAAAAGCCCGATCTTCGCCAATATCTCTCATTTTGCATCTTGCTGCTGAGGAAAGAACATTATCTTCGGAGCTCACTAAGTGTCCACAAGTTGGCCACGAAGTGATCACGAACTACAAGTAGTACTCTCGAGCTTGCGCCGTAGTCACCACTGACACCACGTAGTAGTCTCGAGCTGGCGCCAAAGTCAAGACGGGATACAATCGGGATGGCCACGAGATGTCGCCGGCGTGCAGTCCGTGAACTTGTCTTTGGTCTCAACGTTTCGACTAACCTGCTCTAGTCATCGTCAGGAGACTGAAGAGAGTTGGAGATGCTACTCCGGCTGTGTTAGGATTGGGAGTATTGCTTGCATTGGTGGATTCTGATTGGCCCTACACCCACTCATGGGAAACACACCTCACCATGTACCCAATTTAGCAGGGTTCATCAACACCATAAGGGAATTATTAATTACGGCTGCAGAGGGGTCCCATGCTTTGCAGAAGATTATGCGTCGTATCGTTTTTACAGGGTGCTGCAAAAAGCAGGAAACCCACTGCATGGTATCTGGTATGAACCAGAAGAAAGTATGTCTTTTACCTTGTTGCTGTAGTCCTCCCTGTCCATGACGACGATGGCGTTGCCCTTGTCCGCTGAGAGGATGTGGATGGAGTTGTCTCAGCGAAGGTCACTGACAATCAAACAATCAGAATCCACCAATGCAAGTAATACTCCCAAACAGCCTACTTAAGGAGTAGCATCTCCAACTCTCTTCAGTCTCCTGACGATGACTAGAGCAGGCTACGTTGCAACCAACAAGGGCGGATCCAGGGGTGGGGGCCAAAGCTCTAGGGGGCCATGCCCCCCCCCCCCAAAAAAAAACACGAAACCAATTTTTTTTTTTTATGTGACGTCGCAATAAAGGCAGGCAATTAGTACACCACTATCTTTTCCTCAAAAAACATTTGTTAAAGTGGTCAAAAATTGCCTCAGATCGCACCACAGAGGATCTAGAATCCAAAAAAATTTCGGGGCCCTTTAATAAGCCGGCCCCGAACCCCACACCGTAATTTTTGGACCCACCTTTTGGGGGGACCAAATTTTTTTTTTTGCCCCCCCCCCCCAAAAAAATGGGTTCTGGATCCGCCCTTGGAAACCAAAGACAAGTTCTTTTAGTACTTAAAGCAGGACTGTTCTTATCAGAACAAAAAACTACTAAGCGAAGTTGATAATAAGCAGGACAAGTTCTTTTTCCGAACTAAATATCTTCTAAGCAGTGCATGTAGTTACATTTGTATTACCACATGGTGTTACAACAAACCGAAACGATACTCATACTCTTATTGCTGAAACAGTGCAATTCTCAGAATCGTATCCATCAAATGTACTGTAATAAACAATTTATTCATAATTATGACATTTTGAAAAAAATGTAAAGAAATGTTTATTTTTATCAGCACATCTAAGAAATTTAAATAAAAAACAGTTCACCAAAGCTTTGCTCTTTATGTTTGTTTTTATTCAAACTGAAAACGTGCTTGGAAAAATCACTGGGCAATGTACAATTGTGTGTATTAACTGTTTCAACAGTATTGTAACTATATTTTTTTAACTGAATGAAAAAGCTCAAGATTTGTTAAATGCACAAGAGTTTCACAAGGCTTAAAATGTAACGAGAAAAACGTTTAGAAGATCATGGTCATAATAATCAAAGGTTACATTAGCAAGCTCGGTATGAAGTTGAAAGGCATGCAGCCAAAGCGATGAAGTTTCAAATTATAGAAAAATCAACCTTTAAATAAATTTCTTCCCAAGTTCAAACATTATTTCACAAATTGTGAAAATTATTAATCTTAAACTTTGGCAATTATGATCATTGCTGGAAAGATATCAGAAACATGCATGATTTGAACAGAAGTATCACATTTTCAATATTCATATAGCTTTGCAAGAAGGTTGTATGTGTACATATACAGTGTTCATGAAAGTCTCACTCCTCCCAATGAAACTCATGGCTTAGTGACATAACTTGGGTCCAATTTATAGGAGGCCACTTCCTTTTAGGGGGATCTCATTTATCCTTACCCTCAAATACTGAGCGTGCAGCAGAGGGGAGGGTGGCACATACTAGGCCCTACGTGTATCCCCATATAACACGCCCCACCCTTGTGCCGCCCGCTCGGTACTTTGAGGTCGAAGATGTCAAAGGTCACTTTTTGAGTGGAAGCAAAAGAAGAAACCACAGTGGTGACCAAACTCCTTTTATACATATTCCGAAGTTTTAGTAATAACTTTGTACAAACACAATATAATTATGAAGTTCCCTGCACAAGCTACAAACTAAAGAGGGAGCTCCGTAGCTTGGGTTTGAATAAAGATAATTTGGGGACTCAAAGTGTACCCGGGAAGAAAGGGTTCGGACAAACGATGACAGAGAAATAAGATATGTAGGTCAAGTCCCAGTTTTCTTGTAGATTTGGAATGAGAACGAATCTGGATATGATGGCACCTGATTCTCTGAATCATTTTGTGTTTTGCCCCTGTTTACAGGAAAAGCCCAATGCTGACAATGCTTTGCACTTTCTTCAATTAGGGCTTACAACACAATCACTTCTAATGTGAAGGACCCTGTTAAACGGGATGTTTTTCTGTGGCTATGGATGGACTTTCACACTAGTAGCATGTCATTTGTCAGACACAATCTGAGAGTGAATTTCCTTTGGGTCAACTCCAAAGAGCGCACTCCTATTGTGTCGGACATGCATGTAGTTAAACAACCAAAACAGGCTAATGGCATTAATACGGCCAAGCAAAAAACCCCAAAGGCTAATGATATTTAGCACAACCAAAAACAGCATGATCCAGACACAGCCAAAACAAGCTTTATTATCTTCAAGCAAACTTGATTCCTCGATCCTGATGGATATTCCATGGCAACAACAGTGTAATATTATACCATATTGCACGGTCCATATGGCACCCTATTCCAAGACGCTTTTCCAAGATGCGAGCGTCATTCCAGCTGCATGTGCTAAACCACTGAAAGGTTCATCTAAAGCCTAGTTCCAACTTCAAGTTCCCTTGAAGAGAAATTCATTATCATGCTTGCGCTCGAGGAACATGGAAAATGTAACTGCGTCTGTGTCCCACATACCACGAGGCGGACACAGACGCACAACATTATTGTGTTCCAATCACTGCACCCTTCTGTGTACACTGTGTTGCATAAATAACCTCATATGCAGTACGCTGCATATATATGTACATGTACATGTAAATGACCTCTGCGTTGCACATGCACCCTGCAACGGAGAACTGCAACCGCTCTGTCTCATGTCCAACAGGAAAGCTCAAAGTTATCAAAGGCTACACCACAGTGATTTTATTTATTTCTTGCATAGTAAGTTGCAACCCATTATGTTTTTATTTATTGGCGCGATGCAACAAAACAATAAACCTATCGCGGCAGAATCGTGTCAATGCAGGGTGAGAAATATTGTCAAATTCCATTACAATTACATTACAATTACATTACAAATGGATGAGGAACGTGAAAATCTGACACAAACAAACCGTAGTGTACAGTACATAATTTCATACGGTTGTCTAAGGGGCATGGCTAACCCGCAAACGGCGATACCTCAATTGTTGACTGCTGTGATGCGGAATATGACACCGAGGCTTCACCTCAGGTGCTCTGGGCCCCTTGGGTGTTAAAAGGGCCACATCCCACATCACAGCAATCGTCAACTGTCTGATATCTGCATACTTACTCCTGCCTGGAGCACACAGTTTTTAATCTTGGCTTTTTAAAACGCTTTTGTCTTTCTCCAAAAAGGAGAAAATGTTCTCAGTTACAGAACATGCAACAAAAGGCATCACCCACATCATTTTCGTTTGGCCTTCTTCTTGCAACGTCTCCCTCCTGCATCTTCATCCTCCGAATCACTGTTTCTATGGCGACGGTGACCCCTGTGAATCAATAGGCAATATTCTGATTACATCAGGTAATGTAATTTGCTACAAAATGTGCAAAGGATGACATACATTTTTTTTCTTAATGCCAAAATTTGTACACTACTGCGTACCTTCCAACATGTCTAAGTCTGTAAATTTAAAGTGAACAAAAAACATTTAAGCAAACTTGAATCCTGGGTGTCGATTGTTTGTTCAATTGGCAACAGCCATGTAACATACTCTAGGGACTCTGTGCATGAACATCAGATTCCGACAAATTTTTTGGCATGGCATACGGAACATCAAACCCTTCAAGAAAAGTCCTATTTTTATGTATGTGTTGTGTTTTTTTTTGGGGGGGGGAAGGGAGGGACTTTGATCAAACAACAATATAACCATACCTGGTTGTTAGGCCAGTATTCTGAGATTCATGCCTCTGTGTATCTCTGTCACCTGCTGTTTCTTCTTGGTTTCCAGACTGTCTGGATGTACTGGGTCTGTCTGTAGACTGACTCTCTGAATCTCCTGCTTGCATTCTTCTCCTGGTTGAAGTTCTGGTGTTCCTCCCATCGCCAGTGGGCTCTTCAACTTGTTGCTCATTGCCTGACAGATCACGGCCGTCATCATCATCTTCAACATCTGTGGCAGATGTCTCTGAAGAGATGCCCGATGAGGAAGTGTCAGCCTCAGGCTGCCAATCGTCATCCTCGGTGTCGGTATTGCCAACTTGGATCCCATACAGGGAACCAGCAGCATCCGTGGGGTTGACTTGTGAGGGTCCTGCTGAAGATGTTTCAGGGGCATCATTGCTAGATGTTTGTCCGGCATTGGTGACTAAGGGCACTTGGTGTCTCTTACCACGCAAATGATAATGTCTAGATTCTGATGCCTCTGGTTCGGATTCCTCATTGTCAATTGGGGGCTGTGGTGTGGATGATCCTGAGGTATCAGAGTCATTTCTTCCTTGTTGTTGGTTTGTCGCATGGCTGGATCCAGAAGTGGCTTGTGCTGACTGGCCATTATTTGAAGTGGACAGGCCGACTCTACTACTTGAAGGAACAGAGATTGCAACTGGCAAGTCTTCCTCCTCCGTGGGGCTAAACTCCGCATTAGGACTGTCTCTATCATCCGATTCTGGAGAATAGCCGTCATGCCAAGATGATTCATCATCTTCATCAGGCGACTGATCCCTCGACTGCTCATCACTAGTATACTCCCACTCATCCCTGAACCAGTCATCATGAGGGCTGTCATACAGAGGGCTGCCCCTATGGCCACGGTCTGATGAACTACCACTACTATTGGGGCTTTCACTGTCATAACTAGGGCTGTGGCTTCGACTGTGGCTGCGACTACGGCTGTGACTACGGCTACTCCTGTAACTGTGATGGCTACTCATGTAACTGTGATTACTGCTGTAACTGCTGCTCCGGCTCCTGCTGTGGCTTCTGCTATGACTACGGCTTCTGCTTGGTCTTATGTAGCCGTCTCTGTGCAACTCCTCTCGCAATCTATTTAGTTGTACATCCGTATTGTAACTTTCATCGAATAGACCTTTCTCTACACTTCTGACACGATTTACCAGTTCCTCCTCAGATTTTAGCATCCTGTTTTCTAGATCCTTCAGGCGTTTGTTGAAGGTTTGTTCCATGACTAGAGGAACAGAGCAAAAACAAAAAATGTTGAACACTATAATTACATTTAAAAACATAAGCAGTTTTCAACTTTTCAACTAACTCTTTCAGTTTTTACCAGGAACATTTGTAATGTTAATGATTTCCCCCCAGGGAAATAAGAATTCAGTTGGAAAATTTGACATACATTGTAAAGCATAAACAATGATCAGTAGTGTGCAAATCCAAAAAGCAACTAGACCACTGGTAGTTTCTGAGAGCCACTCAACCAAGTCCAGTGATTCAAGCCATAATCTGATCACACCCTAAAATGGGCAAAGGATGCTCTTTGATATCATTTTTCTAATATCAGCATTTTTCATTTTGCTATGTCATATTTTCTAAATGACATTGGCCACTATGATCAACTTACCGAGTATTACAGACTCACTGACAGAGCTTTCTGATATACATGTACATGTACACCGCTGTTTTTTTTTAAATGACTCAATGTCTTGGAGACAATTGAACCTGGGATTGTGTCACACTTTCATTGATACAAGTTTATAACTGCTTACCTTTCATAGAGTTTTTTAAACTCTTGATGCAACTGTGCAAATGTATTTTAGCAACGGTTACTGGTAATCCGCATCCCTTGTTACACTTCACCAGTCGGTACAAGCATTCTCTCTCATGCTTCAGCATGTCTTTGCGTAGGACGTTCCTGACGCAGCCGTTGTTGAGACAGCCCACCAGGGCAAACTCACACTCCTTGACGTGGCGCTCAAACATCTCCAGCTTGATGCCTTTATTGCAACCCAGGGACACGTTCTGGCACTTGATGAGCAGGCGGTTGATCATGTTGCGGACGATGGGCAGGACTGGCTTCAGCCTGGATTCACTGACATGCTTGCGACAGCTAGGACAGCTGCGATGCACGTTGAGCCAGGTGGTGATGCAGTCTCGGCAGAAGACATGCTGGCATGGGCTCTCCAAGGGGTTGCAGAGTACATTGCGGCAGATGCAGCAGATGAGGTCTGGGTCGGGCGGGGTCACAAAGTCATCCACTTCAAACTTAGACATGTGTAACAAGTGCCAAAACCAATGCTAGGAATGAAAACAAGTGCACAAACATGACAAAGCAGGTGTCACTTCACCGTTACAAAACGTGCCATGTGAAAAATCAACACATCCTGAACTGAAGTCAATTGATAATTTCAACAGCCTGATGTTTCTCAATGTTAAAGCATCCCTGAGCACATTTCAGGCGCAGAACTGTGAAAACCCTGCTTCAAAACGATGAACAATTTGTCAGTTGTTTCTTTACGAAGGGATGAGCTTTAATATCCAATATGAAACTTGAGCCATGAATCAAAAAGAAACGACGAAAACTACTAAAAGTATGATTGGATTTAACAAATTAAAGTGGGGACGGGGCGAAGTGGCCGTGGGGCAATGTGGAGATCAGGAGATCAATGACCGTGAGCTTGTCATGCTTGTTGTACCATGGAGGAATTCTTATAATTCCTCCATGGTTGTACAGTCGTTTGACCGGTTCCGCAATCGCAAATCGTCTGAAGCGTCTTGTGGTGAAAAAACGCGCTTTCACAGGAAGCTACCTATCTATAAATATGCGCAAATTACTCACCTACTTCATGATATGAATAGTTTTCTGTGATCGTTTGAAAGAGAAATTTGCCAGGACGTTTTGTAGAGGTCGGTGCTTTGACCGGTTCCGCAAATGTTTTCCGGTTTCGCAAACGGCGCCCTCTGCGATACTGGACTGAAAATATTCCTTGTTCACTGGCCAAATCTAGATCGTTTTTGCCCCCAAACCAGCCAAGAAAAGATGTGGATTATATTTCCCTGTGCATGAGCCAAGGTCTGCACATTATAATGCGTCCAAATTTACAAAGTGTAACTCCATGAAAATGTTATGGTTCGTTGGATTTTTTTTACGTTATAATTATTTGACTTGCTTCAATCCAATTAAATGACTTTCTTGCTTTTTGTGCATTCTGTCTATCATCTTGCAATCACTAATATTTTGCTTTTTTGTTGTCTTATTTTTATTTAGACACACTCTGACGTTGAATAGAACCAGACACAAACCTTGTACCGAATTGCTCCAGTTGGTTGTTTTTTTCTCACATAAGCACAGACCAGATAATTTATGAATTTGAATTAATATTTTCTCCAGGATCATTTTTAATTCCTATGACACTTAAGGAAGTTACTGCATGGCTGGATGAATTGGAACTTAATCATTGTCTGCAGGGGAGCACTGTTTATTAATATTATTTTTGTATTTAATTATTATTATTTATTTACTTTTGTTTATTCCCTCCTCCTTTTTTTCATGTTACTTTTTTTTTTGTGGGGGGGGGGGAGTGTTTCAATTTGTTCAGGGTAACAACACAATATGCTTAATTTTGTGTGCACCAACATCCAGTAGGGGGAACCTGGGGGCCGGGAGGGAAGGGGGAACAGGCCTCAGCAGGCCAGATACATACAGGCCACATACATGCACATATTGTTTTACATTCAAATTAAATTTCACAAACAAATTAAAACAAATTGTTAAAAATGTCATAAATCCTATGGCTGTTTCATAGCAATGGCAATTTCTAATTGTAATGTTCAGTTACTCCTCATACGTTGTTGCACATATTAACTATGTACATGTATCATGCTTGGGCAACTGTATTAGCAAACCTCATCTACTGTTCGATGATGCTCTTAAAAGAAAATGTCAACACATTCATCACGTATATCCCGATAACCCTTTCAATATATTGACATGTGATACCTGCATGTGTAAATGTAATACAAAACTAAAGCACTCAAGAAGCTACCCCTTTTAAATCCAAAAATATACGTGTCATATAAATAAATGGTGATGAATCACAGAAATAGACATGTCCTGTGAGTTTTTCATGCAAAGTAGCATAGTTTTTCAAACACCTCACTTCTCTTTCACATGTACTGGTAAATAAAAATGTATGTAACGCCTTTAAATTTATTGCCTTTATGACACCTGCATGTCTGTTTAATTGTTATACACAAATAATTTAAGCACTCCAGAAGCTAGCACTATACAAAAAAACTTGTCACATAAAATTCAAAGAAATGGTGATAAAGACACACAGCTACATGTACTTTCACTATAATATTCAACTTCTTCTTGACCTTCACAGGTAAAACTGAAAAAGATGTGCTGATGGCCTCTTATGGCCTATCAGGAGGCTGGCGTAATCTTCTTCTTTGTCTTTGGCATTGTCTGTATGAAAAAGAAATTTTATATAAAACGTTTAGTTTATGACCGATTGAGACAAAAATGAGAAATGGTTTATAGTATTTGACAAATTTTGTGCTCCAAGAAAACAATCAAAATTTGTGTCTCTGTACTGACGAGAGACTGGTCTTCATTATGAAATATGAGTGGACCTATTTTTCTTTATGTTTAAAAGGGTAAAGAGTAAGGTTAGAACCCACCGAAAAAGGATAATTTTAAATTTACTAAATTACTGGAAATGTCCTTTGGGTTAGAAACATATTATTATGCACTATTCTTAATTGGTCCCCACAAACCTCACCTCCTAGCCTGGGCTGACTCATGCACCCTGGATGTGGAGAGTTGTAACTCTAAAATGAATTCAAACCCCTGAGGCACAACTGCTTCAACATCAAGTATGGGGTGAATTTTTTTAGAGCAAAGGAAAAGTGTTTAGTGGGAAGTATTGAGAAAGATTTTTGTATTTTAAATTTTGAAGTCCAAATTTTTTTTATCCAAAACATACAGTGCTGTCCGGAAGCTGGACAGAAACAAAATCATTTTGTTTCAATTTAGTTTTCAATTTTTTGCACTGAACACCCAGAAATGATCATCAAATTCGACATTTTTAAAACAAGGATTAAAAATAAATAGAAATTCTCAATTCTTTGTTAAGTTGTAAAAAAAAGAAAGATTCATGCGAAAATAAATAAAGTGCACCGCGCTAGGGGGCCGTCATCAACAATACTTGTCAATAGCAGCACTGGTTAATACAGTCACACCATGGCCAGTGTATTGTATAGGCAGTATGAATGCGTTTGCGGAACCGGCCAAACGACCAGCAGTTACTCTGGTGGGTATAGAAAAAAAAATTCAAAGACTTCAAATCTTATATTTGTATGGTGGAATAATGAATAATTTCCGAACAAGTTGCATCAATCGCCATGATTTAATTCCCCTGAACAATCGTGTAGCAGGCCGACAAACATGAAATCACGCTTCCGTGCACGTTCCATTTCGGCAGTTCGTTAACGGCAAGTGACGGTCGTAGGGGATTTATTTTTAAATGTAAGTGAGTATCCTAAAACTAAAACCATTTTTGAAAAGTAGATTGAATAACCTTTCCATCAGTACCAAAGTTTAAGTCCTTGGCGTTTTCGTCTTCCTGAAAACGAGAGCTAGTTTTCCGAAATTGCGGAACTGGTCAAATTGCGGAACCGGTCAATTGACTGTACTTTCCGTTCAATTTGGATGAAAACCGACAGCGCATCCACGCAGCCATGGATGCGCGGATATGGAATGGAGTGGCCCTGTATTCTACAGTTGTACCCATTTACCTTACCTGGAAAATGATCAAGTGAAACAGTTATGTAGCTGTTTAGTTATAGCATGTTTAGTCATGTTTGTTAGTAAACAGGTCGGGCGTTCGTCTTCGGATCCGCGTGTCAGGTTACTATCACCAGGCTCAAGGTAGCCGAGGGTCTGGCCGGATTTCTGGCCGCGAGCGTCTTCAGCCACAGATTCAACGGCGCATTCACCAAAAGGCAAAAAAATCTATAATACATGCGGCAAAAGGTGATCTATTTTCAAGAAAGATATAACTTCATTTATTCAACGAATTTTCCATAATAAACGACAAACAGCAATATTTTTTTGTCACGCCATGTAAAAAAATCGACATAAGCAACCGTTTCATCCACTATTTTTCAAATTTTGATGCCAAAATTACGATTAAATTAGCTGCATAATGGAATCATGACATTTCGCGTTATTTTTCAACGCTCTTGGAGACGTTTGAAAGAAAAGTGCATCATTTGAAACGAAGTGTACCTCTCAAAACTCACAATTTTATTTCATAATCTACGAGATAATGTTACTGGGCACCAGTGTTGTAGGTCTCGAGACCGGTCTCGGTCTCGGTCTCGAGACCACTTTTTGTCGGTCTCGGTCTCGGTCCCGGGAGCTGTGGTCTCGGTCTTGGTCTCGGTCTCGGTCCCCTTTGGTCTCGATATTTTGGCTGGTCTCGAGTCGAGACCAGCCAAAAAGTGAGGGGGGGGGCGGGCGGATTCCGCCCCCGGCCCTTTTAGGGATAAGTAAAGAATCCGTTTAGGGCAAACGTGACTGCAGTGTGATGCTAATGGACATGTCTCTCTTCACTTTCTAGTGAGTGAGGCATAGTCCAATAACCATTGCTCCTCTTCTAATTTCTCGTTTTTATTGTGGGATGATATGTTGAAACAAGCACTTTATAGCCATCCTCATTGATTCCAAATACAACTGAGATTTAAATCTTATGAATCAAGACTGAAACATTATTTTCACCGTCAGATTGTGTATTTTCTGTTCATCTGCCCGCCGTCATCATCGTCATAAGCCTGGCCGACACAATAGAAGGGCGCTGTAACAAACTGAATGTGGTGGGCGAGATGAACTTTTATGATACATGGCTCAGTGCGCACGCCTCTCTAGAGTCTAATTGCCTGCCTCGTCTCCTTCCTAAATGTCAATTGCGTTTGCATGAGTCGAGAAGACTTTTGTTTCATTAATGATGTTTACGGCCACCACAATAAGCGATTAGAATATTGGCAATGTCGTACTTGTCACTAAAATACTCAAGTAAATTGCCCGACGAAGTAGCCGATGCGAGCGATACGCTGGCACGGTACAAAACACAGAGAGGCGTGCGCACTGAGCCTTGCATCCTAAAAGTGCATCTCGCCCACCACATTCAGTTTGTTACAGCGCCCTTCTATTGTGTCGGCCAGGCTTATGACGATGATGACGGCGGGCAGATGAACAGAAGATAGATCAGGCAAATATGGTTCATCGATCTTCTATAGTATATGTAACGTTATTGACATTTAACAAAAATAAAGTGGCATTACGTTTCAGCCTTAGCCAGGCCTTCTTCAGAGGTAAATTACAGAGGAACAAGAAACAAACATGTAGGGGACACACAAACATGCAGGGTTGGAAGGAGACTCACAAAGAGGGAGGGGGGGCAGACCAATCCATATCTGGCTACCATCTCTAAAAAAAAAAAATTGGTCTACATGTACAAATCTATATTCCATGACTGAATTTTTTTTTAAATAAATCAAAATTTTCTTGCTCCAAATTTTTTTCGAATCAGGTTTACAAGGAGGTCCAATGTAAAATTAAAGTTGCACTTAAATATCCGTTAGTGGTCATTGCTGAAACCAAGGGCTGGCTCTGGAGTTTAGGGTCCGAGTTCCTATAACAGATGAAACATCCACCTTTAACTTTTTACTTTTGTCAAGTTTCAACATGTTCAAGTTTTGCAAAAACTAGTACAACTTGTCGTACTCCTAAGTTAGAGTTTCTTCATCAGATTTACATTTTATAGTAGTTAAACAATATTTTTTTAATTGATTGTGACAATAACAAACTCTGTTGCCATGTTGTAATTTATGGCATGAAGCAAACACCAAGAGCACTCGCATGACACAATTAAACAGGTACAAGTGATTCCTAACTTTCAATCACTTCCTTCACATCCCCATGAACATCAACATCTCAAGGACAGACTGTTCAGCTGTAATTAGTGTCTTGTTGTTTATTTAGATTATTGTTATTTATAATCCGCGGTCTCGGTCTCGGTCTCAGTCTCGGACCATTTCGGTCTCGGTCTCGGTCCGCCTTGAAGGGGCTGGTCTCGGTCTCGGTCTCGGTCTCGCAGCTTCAGGTCTCGGTCTTGGTCTCGGTCTCGGACTATCCGGTCTCGACTACAACACTGCTGGGCACACTTAATTTTGGTAAAGGCTTTCAGCCGAACACTAATTAGTGTCTAATTAGCCCGTTAAAAAGATCCCATTTTGCCTGCACTACATGTATTAGAATTATTCAATTCGGTTGCGAATATCATTGCCCCTTAAAGCAAAGTGTCCCTGACGTGTTTTCAAAAACTCGCAATTTTATTTCTTAACCTACGAGATCATTATACTGCCGGGCACACTTTATTTTTGTATAAACTTCAGCCGAATATTAATCATAGTGCCTAATTAGCCCGTTAAAGTGACCCTATTTTACTGCACATTAGAATGCGTTCTTTTCAACTGCGCATATCACTGCCCCTTTAAAACAAAGTGTACCACACATCATTTTCTTCCTCCATGCTCACATGTTGTCAAAGTCTCACAATTTTGTTTCATAATCTACGAGATAATCATACAGGGTACATTTCATTTTGGTATTGGCTCCAGCCGAACACTAATTAGTGTCTAATTAGCCCGTTAAAGTGACCCCGTTTTACTGCACTATATTTATAGAATGCGTTCATTTCATCTGCGTATAATATCACTAGGCCTTCCTCTTTAAAACAAAGTGAACCGCACATGCTGTCAAAAACTAGCAGTTTTATTTCATAACTACGAGATCATGTTTCTGGGCACACTTAATTTTGGTATTTGCTCCAGCCGAACACTAATTGGTGCCTAAAATTGGCCCGTTTAACGGTTAATGTGACCCCATTTTCACTGCGACCCCATTTAGCTTTAAAGAGGTAATCATTATTATATACGAAGCCAAACAGTGCAGGGAAAATGGGGTATATTTAACGGGCTAATCAGGCACTATTAACATGGGCGTCGCCAGGATTTTTTCTAGAGGGGGGCAAAATTTTTTTTTGCCAAAAAGTGCTTGTATTTCTCAACACATTCTCGATTTATCAGTTTTAGAGGGGGGCAGGGACATTTTGCCCCCCCACCCCAACTCATTAAATTTACACCACTTTGTCTTCGCGCCTCTTTTCTTTTTTTTTCTTTCTTTTTTTTCTTCCTTTTTTTTTTTTTTTTTTTTCTGCTTTTCCAGGGGGGGGGGGGGGGGCAAGTGCCCCCCTTGCCCCCCCCCCCCCCCCTCGCGACGCCCATGGGCACTAATTAGTGTTCGGCTGAAGCTTATACCAGATTATGAAATACAATTGTGACTTTTTGACAACATGTAAGGTACACTTTGTTTCAAAGGAGCAGTGATATGCGCAGTTGAAAAGAACGCATTCTATTTATACATTAAAATATGGTCACTTTAACGGGCTAATTAGGCAAAACAGTTTTCGGCTGAAGCCAATACTGAAATGAAATGTGCCCAGTAACATGATCTTGAAGATTATGAAATAAAATTGCAAGTTTTTGTGAACATTTGCGTATAGGCCTACGCAGTTGAATAGAATGTATAGAAGTTCAGTGTAAATGGGGTCTCTTTATTGGGCTAATTAGGCACTAATTATTGTTCAGCTGGAGCCAATACCACAATATCAGTGTGCCCAGTAACATGATCTCGAAGATTATGAAATAAAATTGTGAGTTTTTAATATTACGTGTGGTACACCTTGTTTAGGGGCAGTGATATGCGCAATTGAAAAGAACGCATTCTAATTGTGCAGTAAAATAGGGTCACTTTACCGGGCTAATTAGACACAAATTAGTGTTCGGCTGAAGCCAATACCAAAATTAGGTGTGCCAAGTAACATGATCTCAAAGATTATGAAATAAAATTGTGAGATTTTGCCAACATGTGAGGTACACCTTGTCTTAAAGAACACACAGTTCAAGTGGACAAAAATAAAGCACTCTGTAGAGACGATTACTCAAGCAAAACACATTGCACTCAACTGAAATTTCGTCCAATAATTGATCTGGATATAGGACTCAAGGACTTTGAAAATCGACGGGAACACTTGAAGGATAAATTTAATATGATTTAAAGAAAATACAGTTTATTAATTGCGAAATATTCAATTCGAATTTGAGTCACTATTAATGGAACAAAATAAATGCCTCTTTGACTTTGTGGAGACAATAATTCAAGAAAAACACATTGTACTGATTATAAATTGAAGAAAAATTTGTATTGCAACCAAAACAAAAGCTACAGTGTAAGGGCACTCCCGTACATTTTACCAACACCAATTTCTTCCAAAAGAGGGCGCGCTACACAAATACTTGTCACCACCTCAAAGACTTTTGTCAACGTGGATCACGATCTGCCCAAACGAAGTTGGCATTATCTGAACAAAAATATACTTTGTGGAGACGATAACTCAAGAACAACACAGTGCACTGAATTGAAATTCGTTTCAATAATTTTTCTGGATATAGGCCACAAATGTTTTGAAAATCAAGTGAACAAAAAAAAGCACTTCTGTCAACGTGGATTACGATCTGCCTAAACGAAGTCGGCATTAAGTGAACAAAAATAACACACACTTTGTGGAGATGATAACTCAAGAACAACTCAGTGCACTGAATTGAAATTTAGTTCAATAATTGTTCAAGATATAGGACACAAATGTTTTGAAAAACAATGGGAACCCTTGAAGAATATATTTAATATGAATTAAAGAACACATTTTTTATTAAAATTCAATCCGAATTCAAGTGAACAAAAATAAAGCACCTAGACGGTAACTCAAGAAAAACGCATTGCACTGAATTGAAATTTCGTCCAATAATTGTTCAGGATATAGGACTCGGCGGGAACACTTGAAGAATAAATTTAATATGACTTAACGAAAATACAGTTCATTAACCGCGAATAATTCAATTCGAATTTGAGTCACTTTTAATGGAACAAAAATAAAGGACTCTTTGTGGAGACGATAACTCAAGAAAAAACACATTGTACTGATTTGAAATTGCGTCATATAATTGACTGAGATATACGACACAATAGATTTCAAATTCGACAGAAACTGTTCAAGAAAAAAAATAATACAACAAAAACAAAAACTACAGTGTGTAAGGGCACGCCCGTTTTATTGTACCAACATCTCTTTCTTCCAAAAGAGGGCGCGCTACACAAATACTGGTCACCACCGTAAAGACTTCTGTCAACGTGGATCACGATCTGCCCAAACGAAGTTGGCATTAATAAAAATAAAACACACATTGTGGAGACGATTACTCAAGAACAATACAGTGCACTGAATTGAAATTCGTTTCAATATAATTGTTCGGTATAGGACACAAATCGTTTGAAAATCAACGGGAACCCTTGAAGAATAAAATTTATTAAGGGAATAAATGTGTGCTCCGGAGGTTTTTTATCACTCTGTTTAAGACCACTTAGAGTCTGGGTGGTGATAATTACCCGAGCCGGAGGCGAGGGTAATTATCAGCACCCAGTAGTGGTAGTGTTGCGCATGCCTACGTGAGGATTGTGAACGGTTCAACCAATGAAACGATAAGAGGCACTGGATTTTTAGGAGTCCACATTTTATTGTGACACTCAGTGGAAAAGTGTTTAAGACCAGCTAGCCATGTCTTTATCATCCGTTTAAGACCGGCCACGTGACGGGCTTTCGATCAATAGGAATGCGTAAACTGTCTTAGGTATGATATGATTTAAAGAACCTACCGTTCATTAAAACTCAATCCGAATTCAAGTGAACAAAAATAAAGCACTCTGTGGAGACGAGGCTCAAGAAAAACACATGCACTCAATTGAAATTTTGTCCAATAACAATTGTTCCGATAATCAAGTGTTCCGGGAACACTTGATCTATTTGTGCAGTGAAAATGGGGTCACTTTAACGGACTTGTTTTTGACAACATGTGCAGTACATACACTTTGTAAAGGGGAGTGAATTACGCAGTTAAATAGAACGCATTCTATTTGTAATTGCGCAGTAAAACTAGGGTCTCTTTTACTGGCTAATTAGACACTAATTAGTGTTCGGCTGAAGCCAATACCAAAATTAAGTGTGCCCAGTAACACGATCTCGTAGATGATGATATAAAATTGTGAGTTTGTGACAACATGTGCGGTACACTTTGTTTTAACCAGGCAGTAATACACGCAGCCTAATAGAACCAATTATAATAGTGCATGGAAAATGCAGTCAGTTTAACGGGCTAATTAGACACTTATTACTAATCGGCTGGAGCCAATACCAACATTTAGTGTGCCCAGTAACATGATATCGTAGATGATGAAATAAAATTGTGAGTTTTTATTATAACGTGTGGGTACACTTAAATGATGCCTCTACTTTCAAACGTCTCCAAAGCGTTGAAAAATAACGCGAAATGTTATGATCCCAATATGCAGCTAATTTAATAGTAATTATTGAATCAAAAATTTTGAAAATAGTGGTTAAACGGTTGCTATGTCGGGTTTTTAATATGGCCTGAACAAAATATTGTTATTTGTCGTTTATTATGGGAAAATCGTTGAATAAATGGATCACCTTTTGCCGCATGTATTACACTTTTTAAATTTTGGTGAATGCGCGGCTGAATCAGCGGGACGCAGCCAGACATTTGGCCAAATCCGCGGCTACTTTGAGCCAGGTGTTGTCTTGTTTCTCAAAAAGTGCACTCAGTTTATGGGAGATTCTTCTAGGGTATCTGACTATTTAGTACGATAAACAATTATTCATAAGTTCAACTTGTACGATGCAAGATGATTGGTCAAGCGAAAGGTCAAAGTGCACTGCTATTTGGCGCGCCACGGACGTCTTTTCCCGTAAAAAATTCAGCGATGAGTTGCTTCAATTTCGTTATTATTATGGTTTTAAGTTAACTTTTAAACATAAATCCATCTCTAAATCAGCTGGTTTGTTGGCATCATCGCAGTGAGTATGTCTTGGTCATGTGAATGATTTGTTTAAATTGAAGGGAAGAACAGATAAAAACTGCCTTGACTGCCGCGTATGCCGCGCGCTGCTGCTTAATGCACAAAACTCTTATTTTGGTAATCCTTACTTTTAGGACACCTCTATTTTTTCGAAGTGGCTATCGTTACGGCACTCGTTGTTTAGCGCCCTCTACGATATTTTTTTGATACGCACGCAGGTATATAATTATTTGTTTCCACACGTTTTATCGAGCAGTGCGTCAGCTCAGACGATAGAGGGTAGGATTTTGCACCGCGAGGTTGCGGGTTCGAATCTTAGTTTTGCACTCGAATTTTTTTCCTTTTCTAACCTGAGGCTTTGGAGGATTTTTTTTAAAAGGGAAATAAAGTCCGAATTTCATAAAGTTCAAATTCACTTTTTTCCTTCTAATTTTATATTTTCTTGTCATGTTTTTTTATAAAAGTTGCCAGGTTGCAGTCTACCGTAACGATAGAAAATGGGAAATGCGTTACGGCTGCCGTAACAATAGCCACTGCGCTATTTTTTACGAGTTCTGTTCAAAACTGACTTTTGCAGATGTCTGTCCAGTACCAAAGTGACTTTTGCAGGCTAAAGCAGTCTTTAGACATGTTAGAACTTAGAAGTCAAGAAGGTGTCATTGCCAATTGTTCAGATGTGCCAAGAAGTATCAGAATGTCAATTTTGAGTGTCATTTAGTCAACTGTTTTGGTGAGTCTTTCCCTTCCTATATAGGAACGGGGTCCTAAAAGTAAGGATTACCCTTATTTTATATAGGCCTAGCTGGAGTTACCCAGCCCTGAGTTTTATCATTGGGTTGTCTATTAGGGCTGGAGCGCATTTTTCTCGTAACTTGTAGTATTTGCAAAAAATCTGTTAACTGTTAAAAAACTGTTAATCGACCGCCATTCATTGTACACAATTTTTTTTGTGCACAAACCAATCCGGCTCGTTAGTAAAAACGTCATACACGCGCACGCACCACTGATTACTAGCGCCCATTGGCTGCAAACGCTCGAACTGCGTTAACTTCCGGTTCCAAACGGTGCTGAAAGTGCTGGAGGTGACGTCACACTAACGAACCGGATAGCGGTCCTGGCCAATCCAGCAAGGTTGTCAAGTTAGCGGTTATTCCTCCTGTTTTCACTGCAATTGTAGGCTGAATCTTCATCGTGGATCGTTTTTTACTTCAAGGACCTGTGTAATGGTTATTCCAGGCAAGTTTGGGGTGAGTTGCAGTTGCAATTAGTGTGTAACGGGGACAAAATTGAACATTTTCCAAATTTTTTTTGCAAATACTACAAGTTACGAGAAAAATGCCCTCCAGCCCTAATAGACAACCCAATGATAAAACTCAGGGCTGGGTAACTCCAGCTAATATAGGCCTAGCCTAGTATAGTCGGACTCCCTATTATCGCCGCATCCCTATTATCGCGGCATGGGAAATTTCTCTTTTTACAGTGTCAAAACTCTTCAAGTGGCGATTTTTATCCAGTTCACCAGTCATCAAGGATTTTCTACCGAGTTGTATAAAAAGGACGATTAAAAAATGTTGTGCCTTTCGGGACTTTTAACGATTTTAATAAATATTAACGTTTTCCAAAACTTGCAAAATTTTCCCTCACCGTGTCTGCTAAAAGGTACCGTTTATATTTTAACATAAATCTTTAATTGCGCTCTGTCCATGAAAGTTCCATTGTCTGGTTCCTATTCTTCAGCTGCAAATGTAAAATGAAGTCGAACGACGATATTTGCAGCGCGAAATCGTAACAACTTTTACGGGATCAAAATAAGCACCGCGCGTTAGCGAAAATAAAACGGCACACCGTGTAAAGTGAATGGCGCCCTCAATCGCCGATCAGTAGACTTGCCTCAGGGATTTGTGTTCTCCTTTCGGGGGAAGGGCAGGGTCTTAAGAAATCATCCTGCAGACATTTTGTCTTTAATCAACTTGAAAGTTACAGGGAAAATATCAGACTTTATTCAGGGGGTGTTTTGGTCAAACATAAACTATGAACAAAAAAGTTGGGATCATTAGAAAAACCACTTCCCGCATACCGCGATAATAGGGAGTCCACCTCCGTTCGCACACGCCGCGCATGTCGATTTTCACAGGCATCGTACACGGAATAAACCACACCACCCGTCCGATTTTTTTATATTAATTTAAAAAGGTAAGAGTTATACTACACATAAGACAGGACAATTCTGGAAGGTTAGTGGGCAGTCTCTATTCCGAACGAGAAACGTGATAAGTACCACGATAATACGGCGTTCCATCCTACTAGTACCAGTCATGCTAGTAGGCCTAGTGGATATATTGCCGGAGGTAATGCCGGCAAGCTAACCATGCGGGTCCACTGTACTAATTCAAGCCCCATTGAAAACAGTGTAAAATCAACAAAGTTCAGGGCCAAATAACATGAATAACATGCAAGCCAACATCAATGATCAAGTGGGGTTCCTCAAAAATTAATATTCTTTCAATTTTCATCTTTTCATTTCTTTTCAATTTTACTAGGTACATCATGTACATTATTAGCCCGACTGCATCTGGCCGTACAGTAATATCGCAAGCTATGTAGTACGGCCAGACCGCCAATGCGCCCCTCAACCCTGAACTCTGAATATGTAGCGATTTTGCTACCGATTTTAATCGAGATTATCTTTTCATCCTGGAACGAAATTTCCAAAGTTGAGGTTTGTAGTCGTAGAGTAACTCATACCTTTTTGTAAAAACGTTCTTTTATCCAAAACTCTTCATTCATCTGGCCAAAAGACGACTTTCAGTCATCATCTCCCACGAATATCGTCCAGAAAATGTTCCTCCATGCGATTTCAAAATAGTGCCGCGTTGTAATGTATGCATTATGTGGGCACGCTTGAGCAAGATTATGAATATGTATTATTCAGTTCATGACCTCGTGTTTGTATGGCCAGCCGCCCCGCGCGCCTGACAAACGTCATGAACTAAATATTCATAATCTTGCCCAAGCGCGCTTGCATAATGCATACATTACAACGCGGCCGCCATTTTGAAATCGCATGGAGGAACATTTTCGGGAAGATATTCGTGGGAGATGATGACTGAAAGTCGTCTTTCAGCCAGATGGATTAAGATTTTTAGATAAAAGAACGTTTTTTTCGAAAAGGTATAAGTTACTCTACGACTTATTACTAGGAACCTCAACTTTGGAAATTTCGTTCCTGGATGAGAAGATAATCTCGATCAAAATCTGTAGCAAAATCGCTACATCAGAGTTCAGGGCTTAGGGGAGCATTGGCGGTCTGGCCGTACTACAGAGCTTGCGATAGTACTGTACGGCCAGATGCAGTCAGGCTAGTACATTATTAGCTAGTCCCATAAATGTGATGGTAATACTGGACTACCTCCGTATTAAACGTCACAAATCCACTTGTGTTATTTGGACGGAGAGTCCGTTGCTAAGGGAGCCGAAAAACCATTCGAAATCGCTATTATTTTGTCACTTAAATACTCACACAATGCCTCCTACAACTGCTAAATATCAACAAAACGTTAAATTCGGCACCTTCAGAGGTCTAGTTATCTTGTAATTTCGAGTTGAATTCGGACGACTTTTACAGCCATTGTTCACGAAAGCGTCGTGTTGCATGACGTCATGGGTTGTGATAAATCGCGCCCTCACTAGCTTGCATGAAATTTTGACAAGTTTTGGTCAAAAGTGCATGTAATGCGGGCGCACTTTGACCAAAACTGAATTTTCAAAAGAAATTGTGGGGGGGGGGGCACTTTTTATGCTAATGACTTGCTAGAAATTCTCACTTGAATTAGTTCAGTGAACCCTATGCATTTTCTAAAGGTTTGCCGGCGGCAATCCATATCAACAGAGGGCGCTGTACTAGGTTTTTTCCCCATCCCCCAAAAATAAGAATATTCTTCTTTTATTATTTTAACATGTCTCAAACATTTTATTGCAGAGTATGACATTTTCTTTTTCAGATTTGTGGCTCTGGAGGATTTTTTTATAAAGGGAAATAAAGTCCGAAATTGTACAACATGATTCCCATCTTGTGAATACGAAGTTACAACGATAATGTTGGCATGGAGCCAGACTAAAATTTGTCACCGGAAAAAAACTGCACATGTTCAGTGCATATCCGGCAAGCTAACGTTTACTAAAGGTTTTCGGTCTCCGGCAAAATATCCACTGCCTTTTTTTATTCCCATCCCAGCTACCAATACCATTTAGTGCAAATTTGAACATAAATGAGGTTTTTATCCTTTTTTTTCTTTCAGACAGCATCATTGACCAATGATTGGAATTATGAGCACCAAAGCACCCAAGGCCGCATCTGGCCAGGTAGTATTTCTGACTGTTTATTGCATTGCTGACTAGTGACTGCTGTTTCATGACGGAAAAATTGTTATGCAGTACCATTTAGGAAAGATTTCAATATCCTGACGCCACTGGTTTTCATCATATGTACATGTAACCTAACTATGGTCAGATAGGCCAAACAAAAAAATACCTTTGGTTTCGGTCACCTGACCGACCCTGTTTTTGAAAGCGATAAAATGCGACCCCACACAATGTTAGCGGTTATGTGGAAAAAAAGGTACGATACTGACTTCCAATCAAAATTGTTCAAAATCGCTGACCGCCAGAACAATTTATAGGCATTTATCAGCAAATGATTTTTTTATGCCCCGCGGCGAAGCCGAAGGGGCATACTGTTTCCGCCTTGTCCTTCCGTGGGTGGGTGGGTGGGTGGGTGGGTGGGTGGGTGTGTGGGTGTGTGTGTGGGTGAGCTTGTCTTACATACGCAGTGTGGACTTCCGAACAAAAGACGTCCACATAATGTAGGTAGCACCGACGTTGTGTGGACTTGCCCACGTCCACACAGTGTTTCCCCATTTCTGGAAAACAGGTTTAGAGGCATTTTTGGGTTAGGTTTATCTGTAGCAGAATGAAGAGAAACACTAAAGGGAATCATAGAAAAAAAATTGGGTTGAAAGAGTTTTCACAGTTTGAGAAAAATTAGTTTTTTCACTGGTTTTTCTTAACTACACGAAAGCAATGGAAAGTCCACACTAGTCATGTGAAACAAGTATGGGTGGGTGGGTGTGTGTGTCCGGACAAATCTTGTCAGCACGATAACTTGAGAAATACTTAACATATGAACTTCAAATTTGGTCTGTGTATTGTTCTTGGTAATCCTAAGAGGCCTATTGCATTTGGGGCCGAAAGGTCAAGGGTCAAGGTCACAGTGGCTGAAACAATAGAAATTTTGTCAGCGCGATAACTTGAGAAATACTTTACATATGAACTTCAAATTTGGTTTGTGGATTGTCCTTGGCAATCCTGAGAAGCCTTTTGCATTTGGGGCCGAAAGGTCAAGGGTCAAGGTCACAGTGGCTAAAACAAAAGAAATTTTGTCAGCGTGATAACTTGAGATATACTTTACATATGAACTTCAAATTTGGTTTGTGGATTGTCCTTGGCAATCCTAAGAGGCCTATTGCATTTGGGGCCGAAAGGTCAAGGGTCAAGGTCACAGTGGCTGAAACAATAGAAATTTTGTCAGCGCGATAACTTGAGAAATACTTTACATATGAACTTCAAATTTGGTTTGTGGATTGTCCTTGGCAATCCTGAGAAGCCTTTTGCATTTGGGGCCGAAAGGTCAAGGGTCAAGGTCACAGTGGCTAAAACAAAAGAAATTTTGTCAGCGTGATAACTTGAGATATACTTTACATATGAACTTCAAATTTGGTTTGTGGATTGTCCTTGGCAATCCTAAGAAGCCTATTGCATTTGGGGCCGAAAGGTCAAGGGTCAAGGTCACAGTGGCTAAAACAAAAGAAATTTTGTCAGCGCGATAACTTGAGAAATACTTTACATATGAATTTCAAATTTGGTTTGTGTATTGTTCTTGGTAATCCTAAGAAGCCTATTGCATTTGGGGCCGAAAGGTCAAGGGTCAAGGTCACAGTGGCTGAAACAATAGAAATTTTGTCAGCGCGATAACTTGAGAAATACTTTACATATGAACTTCAAATTTGGTTTGTGGATTGTCCTTGGTAATCCTAAGAAGCCTTTTGCATTTGGGGCCAAAAGGTCAAGGGTCAAGGTCACAGTGGCTAAAACAATAGAAATCTTGTATTTATTCTGAGATCATAGGGATTAGGGATTAATTCATATAAAACCTACAGAAGACACTAATGCTGTCAATTAATGAACGTTCCATGTGACCAAGGTACATGTAAGTTGATGTTGAAAGAGTGGTGTTATGTCATGGGAACAGTCACGGTTGCGGGGCATTTGTGTTTGTAAACACACCTGACTTGTTTCTTTTTGGTATTATCCGAAAGAAAAGTTGCGTTGTAGACTTCACATTGGATCGGATGGCCGCACGTCTTTCGTGGCTTTCGTTCGGCTCTCATGCACGTGCACCTAAGACTGCAATTTGCTCTAGACATCGGAGAATGTGAACATTTTCCAAAAAACTAACAGGAAATTTCTTCCAGTGAAATCTCAAAATGACATTCAGGGAATTCTTTGTGAAAAACCAGGATATCGCCGCAAGAACCCAACCTGACGAACCACGGAGACGCGTAGAGAACGTCGACACGACAGTGGTTGAACCATGTTCCTTGCTCAATGGTTGAACTTACGAACTCCTTGTTATAAAACATGTCTCAAAAATCATCCCACAACACTTTGATTGGGGACCACTTAAACATGTATCATTCCTCACACGTATTGGCTCCAGGAAAAAAAATCGTTAAAATAACATGTTATGCCGACTGACCGACCCAATTTCTTTCTTACCGTGTGACCCGAACCAAAGGTATTTTTTTGTTTGCCCTTATCAGTTATTGCACATATGAACTTATGAACGAGAAACATTTTCATTTGTAATTAATTTTCAAGACTCCCGGCAAGACTGTACAGGGCCAACAAACTGATGTCTGAATATTCCATTCTTTCATATAATCATATCTATGAATCAATTCAAAACAAAGAAAAAAATATTGACATTTTAAATTTTGGGATAAATGCAAATGATCCGATAGGCTTTTAAGGAATTTTTTTTAATTAAAAGCTAGAAATGGATAGTACCAAAAATATAGTGTACTTGTAAAATGTGCTTGTCAAACTTATAATTTTTTTAATTAATGAAGCAATGAAATGCAATCTAGGTATATTTCCTTTTATTTTGACTCCAGAATATGGATGATGATAACCCTAATATCAAGTCACCATCCAGTGCTACTGTGAAGAAGTCAATGATAACATCCTTTTTCAAACCAAAGACACTCAAGCAGTCCCCCGAAACCAGCCAGAACAACCTCAACCAAGGAAACACGGACAGGAGTCCCATAGCTAGTGGTGTAAAGGTCTCAAGTAGCCATACTGAGGACAGCTTCAAAGTGAAGGCTGCCAGTAAAGGTCAAGGGTCAGATGTCATTTCCAAGGGTCAGAAACATGATGGTTTGGATGGGCCCCTTGATCCAGAAAAGGGTGTGGCTAATCAGACAAGCTGTCTTGATGCCGCCCAGAGAAAATGCAAACCTGATAAAGTCAAAGATTCGACAAGTCAATTCACGCACGTTAAAAGTAACCCCCGAAAAGCCGCAAGGATAGAAAGTGTTGGCTGTTTGCCAAAGGAGAGCAGAAATACCGGCATAAAGGTTCCACCGAGATGTTCCCCGGCTCCCGGTAATGGTGACAAATCTTCCCAGAAGCGCAAGAAAAAAGTGGAGCTGAACTCCAGCTCTGATGACTTTGAAGTTGATAAAAGGACCAAAACGCAAAAAAGGGAGGTCTTGGAACTCAAGGAGGAGAAAAATCTACTTGATGGTGAAGTTCCTGAAGATAAGATTCCCGATGGAGGTTTGCTGGACAATGATGCAGCCTCGTCCTGTTCTGATGCAGACATCTTTGAAGTCAAGGAGCCTACAGGCAACCCAAAAGTGATTTCATACTTGGACTTTCTTAACGAATCCATGGGGGAGAATCAAGTTGATAGAGATGAAATTAACTACCGCTCTGATAATGAAATAAAGGAAATCAATGACAAAGGTATGATGGAGGATCATCATGTTGTGGAGAAACCTCAGACTGAAGCAAAAGTGTTGACAAGAGAGAAGCATATTCGAAAGAAAATAACCAAAACAAAAAGTAAGAAAGACCCCAAAACTTCAGTCAAGCCAAGCAAGTTCAGTACATCTACAAAAAGTGAAGAGACATGCATCAAAATAGGTTCTGATGTTGGCCAAGAAAAAGAATGTGCTCAAAAGGAGAGGGGCGCAGAACCCAATTCAGCTACTTGTCTTCCAGATGATGACAGTGTGCTGACCATTTCGTACTCGGAGTTCACAGATGATAAAACTGGCAGTAAGTCCAGAGAATCCTCCTCGTTGTCACTGATGTATCCAAAGCAAAAGCTGGTCACCATTGAAGCTGAGGTTCACAGTCCCCCATGCGATGAAGCAATGCATCCTGGGAATTCCCCTGTCACCATTGATTTGTGCCATTCTCCAGAGCACGTTCAGACACCAGCCTCAAAGAAGAGGACCTCAAACGTTGTCGTAAGTGTGTCTGATCTAGATCTGATGATTGTCAGTACAGACGATGCATCTGCATCAGCTGACAGCAGGAAATCTAAGACAGTGTACAGCATCTTCCAGAAGAAAGGAACAATGGAGCAAACTGAATCTAAAGCGTTGAAGAAACCAGAACCTACTGAGACCTCAAAAGACGCTAAAGAAATATCGGATGTGAAACCTAAACAGGGCCGGTCAAGAAAACGGCATAAATGTGCAGATTTCAGTCCAGAAAACAAATCTAGGACTTCAACGAATACCAATGATACCTTGAGGAAAGCCCGTCCGAAAACCCAAAATGGTCGACAAGCAAAGAAGACATTAAAGAGTATCTTTGACGGCATGTCAGAAGAGGAAAATACAGAGGAAGAATTTCAAGAAGAGATAAGTAAAAGGAATGAAGAGGGTACAAATAGAAGGAGAGGAAGACCAAAGAAGTCTAGACGTAGAAGTGATGAGGATGGACAGGAGACAGGAGGATCAGATGCCAAAAAGACTTCTCAGCGAGCAGAGATTGTTGTTCTGACATCCACTCCAAAAGCAAAGACGAACAAGGTTAGTGTGATCCAAAGATCAAAGACGAAGTGAGACATGGATTGGGTGTCTTCTCGTGGATATAAAAGTGGTTCTTTAACGAAGAAAAGGGACACAGAAACAGTGAATTCTCTTCGAATACTTTTAAACAATTGATTTATTTTTATTGAACAGAATACAAAGGCCAGGCAGTTACTGAGGAGAGCCAAGTCACAGCAGATGAACAAAGCATCTGCAATTCCATCCCAAGCTGAACACAAATTGAACACTTTGGGAACAAAGTGTGCAACACACGTAGCTCAAAAACAGACAAGACCTGAATCTGGGAATCAAACCAGGAAGCAAAGAGATCTTACAAATGTTTTAGGAAGGCGATGCGCTCCAAAAGAGGGAGTTGTTAAGGGCAAACAAGAAGGGAAGACAACAAAAAAGGGTGCTGAGAAAAAGAAAGCAGTCATCGCAGAGGCTCAAGAGAGAAAACGTAAGGTTTATCAGATTTCATGTCTGTAAATAGAGTATTGGGTAAGATTGATAGACCTTGTGCGTTAAGATGGTGTTGGAGGGCAATGGTTTTTATTTACATGTAGCTGGAATAGGCATGAGTAAACCTTTTGTGCACTCATTGTTGAACTATAAGACACCAGCAACACATACGTGTAAGGTTTATTCAGGTTTGAAAAGGGCTAACTGCATTAAAACAATTTTACAGAGGAAATAGTTGGGCTCGATGCTCTCCTGTTTCACTGCTTTGAAGCTAACTTTGACTTGTTTCATGAAAATCATCATATGGGATGTGTGGAGGTTTGTCAAAATGAAGTGGTGATAAATAATAAAGAATGTTAAAAGTGATGTCCATTGGAAATATAAAAAGTACATAAAATTGTAATCGGTTAATGTCTTGCAGTTTAAAAGATTTTATGTTCATCTGAGATTTGTAGTTTCTAAGAGGGGATCTGGGCAGCATTATCATGTATTGAACAGGGTGTTGTACAGGGTGAGAAAAAAAATGTAGCACTTTCAAAATCTAGGATATGAAAGCTCAATTCATAAGCTTTCTTTTAGTACAAGAATAATTCAAATCACTCATGTACTTTTCAAGTTACGGACTTTTAAACACAACCACCGTTTTAAAGTTCTGTCCACGAATCACAAAACGGTAAGTGTTCTTTCAGCAAAACAAAAACAAATCACATAGGGATGTGTGTGAAATGTTTTCGTTTTACTGAAAGAACGCACACCTTTTGTGTGATCCGTGGACAAAACTTTAAAACGGTGGTTGTGTTTAAAATGCCATAACTTGAAAAGTACTTGATTGATTTGAATGATTCTTGTACTTAAAAAGAAGGCTTATAAATTGGGCTTTTATATCCTAGATTTTGAAAGTGCTACATGCAGAACTTCACTAAAACAATAGTCGCAACATTCGCGTTTCGTGTTTTTTGACTCGCCCTGTATATTTCTTTCTGCTTTTGCTTTCTCAGCAACGAAACTCGCACCCATGTTCACCAAAGAAGGCCGACAAGCCCTCGGCAAAAAGCAGCAGACCCTGGACCGACAGATCAGCAGCCCTAGCGTGATGATCATCCCTGATGATGACGATGAAACCAGCAGGGACAGTGTGCGTAGTGATGTGGGCGGAGCAGCCGGAGGGGCTAAGCTGTTTAGTGATGCGCTAGTGAGAAGCAGGGATGCAGAGGCAGAGCGATCTTATCCGCCTTTCCCAACAATTAGCCATGTTCTTCAGATGGGTGAGGTTTGGCTTTTATTACACCTCATACATATTGACATGTATCAGACAAGCGTGCAACTTTCATTGGTCCAATAAATGTTTTAGAAGTAAATGCAGCTATCCATGCACAGTCATACACAGTGCGCACATCATCGCCCAATTGAAGCTCATCGCAATTTTGAAAATAGAGTAAGTGTCCGCTCCAATTTCATCCAAATTTTCTTAAATTGAAATCCCAAGTCTGTATAAGAACTTGGACCTCCATTAGTTCAGTCGGAAAAGGGGGGTATCGTGCACCCTCGGAAATCAATTTCTAATCAACGTTTCTAGGTCAGAAAAAATGCGTAGAAAACGATTTGCTATGTTAAAAAATTCAAAAATGTCCCACGTATTGTTTTTATGCAAATTAGTGCCGCCATTACCGAAAAATCTATTTTTAATTATATCTCAGCCAATATTGCAGATAACTGAACGAACTAGGTGTCTAAACCCATGTTTTCAAGGTCAGAGATCACAATAAAACTATTCTGGAAGTGACCACATGTGTCTGTGGCATAGGAATATGCAATTAGTGCCGCAAATACCGGAACGTTATGTTTTTGGCATATCTCGGCCAATATAGCACATAACTACACCAGTAAGGTGTCTAAACCCATGTTTTGAGGGTCAAGTATCATTAGACGACCATTCACGAAGTAACTATGTGTGTCTTTGGCATGAAAATATGTAAATTATAAAGTGTCGGTTTATCCGCTTTTTGATTTTTAGCCAATATCTCGGCCAATATTGCACTTAACTACACAAGTAAGGTGTCTAAACCCATGTTTTGAGGGTCAGGTATCATTAGAAAACCATTCACGAAGTAACTATGTGTGTCTTTGGCAAGTAAATATGTAAATTCTAAAGTGTTGATTTATCAGAAATTTGATTTTTAGCCAATATCTCGGCCAATATTGCAGCTAATGTTAACATAAGGGTTTTTGATAAGCAATAATGATCAACGTTTATTTTAAGCCATCATATTCAAAATAAACTGTAATATTGGCTGAAATTGAATATAATTTGGCTGAAAATCACTTTTTTGATAAACCGGCAATTTAGAATTTACATATTTTCATGCCAAAGACACACATAGTTACTTCGTGAATGGTCTTCCAATGATACCTGACCCTCAAAACATGGGTTTAGACATCTTACTTGTGTAGTTAAGTGCAATATTGGCCGAGATATTGGCTAAAAATCAAAGAGCGGATAAACCGACACTTTACTATTTACATATTTTCATGCCAAAGACACACATAGTTACTTCGTGAATGGTCTTCTAATGATACTTGACCCTCAAAACATGGGTTTAGACACCTTACTGGTGTAGTTATGTGCTATATTGGCCGAGATATGCCAAAAACATGATTTTCCGGTAATAGCGGCACTAATTTGCATATTCCTATGCCACAGACACATGTGGTCACTTCCAGAATAGTTTTATTGTGATCTCTGACCTTGAAAACATGGGTTTAGACACCTAGTTCGTTCAGTTATCTGCAATATTGGCTGAGATATAATTAAAAATAGATTTTTCGGTAATGGCGGCACTAATTTGCATAAAAACAATACGTGGGACATTTTTTGAATTTTTTAACATAGCAAATCGTTTTCTACGCATTTTTTCTGACCTAGAAACGTTGATTAGAAATTGATTTCCGAGGGTGCACGATACCCCCCTTTTCCGACTAAACTACATTGCCTCAAACCCTCAAGTGCCAGGGCTACACAGCTCTCAATAAAGAACATTTAGGGCGTATAAAATGGTGATTTGGTCAGTGTGAGCAATTTTGGGCCTAACACTGGAATTGACCTATCGCCGTTTGGGAGTTGGCCATGCCCCTTAGACAACCCTATGGAGTTTTTGTACACTAAGTGTTGTTTGTCTCAGATTGTGTGCGTTCTGCGTCCATTTGTATATCATGTAATTAGACAATTTGTCACAAGCTGCGTTGATGCGATTCTACCGCGATTGGTCAATTGCATCAGCCGACCAGGATTTGTGTGTGCCCATCAAAAACAAAATGCAATAGTACAAACATCATGTTCGTATGTATTGATATATTTTTTTCCGGGTAGCTGACTAGCGGATGTTTAAACTATTATAAGATGGAATTTTGCGTCGGGGTGATATAAATTAAATTAGGTTTTGCCCTTCACCGACGTTTAAACACTGTATACTCAGTGTGTTACCTCCCGAGTGAAAGATGGAAAAAATCACTCGGGTGGGACTCGAACCCACGACCTCCTGCTTTCTAGTGCAGATGTTTAAACTATTTTGAAGATCATATTTATAAGATCAAAATAATACCACAACGTTTTTCTTCATCTACTCAAGACCACTCCCATTTTTTGAAAATTCAAATCACAGAAGTGCTATTCAGATATTCGGTGTGTGAATAAATATTCAAATATTCAGTATATTCAGCGCAACCCTACCATAGGGGTTTTGTCCTACCTTTTTTGGGACCTTCTCATCCCTAGTCCCCTCATTAATACTTGATAGGATATTCATCCAAAGTGGTTTATTTACACTGATTCCAGCTCCAGAGATTGATGGAAACAGAGATTGGTGGAACCTACCTGCTCCTGGCAGTCTGGGAAAATTCCTTATAGCAGACAGGAACTGCACATTAAAGATGATCAACAAGAAATCAAAAATGGTCGGTCATCATATGAGACTTGGAGAATTTACCAGATGCTCTGCAGTAGGAGAGAAAACTCCATTTTTCAAGGTAAAAACTGATGCCACATTTTGATGTCTTCTTGAAGTGAATCAGAAAATGGCAAATTATGAAAGTCAGTTACATTTATGGAACTTTATTCTCACTAAAAGGAAAAACTTACGACAGATTTTGATATTGGCGTTAATTATCATTAACTACAATGTAATCTCATTAATTAGTGTTGTGATATAGACTGTTTGTTCACGTATCTTGCTGAACTCAATTTTCTTAATGTTTTTTTTTTGTGTGTTCATAAGCAAGATTCTTTACATCGATCGTCGGGGCAAAGCTGGAGGGCTAATATGTTCATTGTTTGCGTGAATATTTTTCCAGAAGTGTCACTGTTTCATATCGAGGTGTGTTCAGAATATAGCGGGAGAAGTTTTTGGTTTGAGAATCAGAAATAATAACGATGTCCTGGTGTATGTATTTTGATTTTGATTGTGTTTTCACTTCTGACTAGATCTGTTTCTTTTGTCCTGTAGAGCTTCAGTGGTCACCCAGAGTTAAGCCATGATACCCAACGACTAATCCTGGATCAGATTAAAGCGGCTAATCCCCGATTCCCAGTCAACAGGGTCTTCAAGCGGTACCTCGCCAAGCGGAAAGGGGAACCATTGATACCCAAACCACTGCAAGGTAATTAAGAAGTTGACAATTCACAAGTTCATTCTTAATCCGTGTCAGTTCCATAACTGGGACATTGTTCGTAAAATTTGATGCACGCAGATCACGCGCCCAGGATATCCTGCATTAAGTGAATAATTAGTCACGCAAGGTTTGTTTAGAATCTCTATAATTTCCACTATTCTTCAAATTTGCTGATTTTCCTGTTATTGTGCTTCCCCTCTATGCCATTAATAAGGGAATAAATATGTGTTTGGCTGGTTTAAACAAGATGTTTAAGACCAGTATTGGAGTCTGGACCCTGATAATGATCTGAGCCGAAGGCAAGGGTCATCAGCATCCAGACTTCTGTAGAAACTGTAGCTTGTCAATTAGACTGGTATTAACCTACCTCACTGAATGACTACCATTAATTTGTGACTTACGCTGGTTACAAATCTTACTGACTGACTGTCACTGGTGAATTATACTGATTACCTATCTCAATAACTGATTTTCACTTGTGAATTAGACTGGTTACCTTGTTAACTATCTCACTTACTGACTGCCACGTGGGACTTACCACGTGTGCTTTATGAGGCTTGCATGTTCATGTGTGTTGTGTATCTACACCACATGTGCTTTAGTCTGGCGCTGTTGTTCTTTCACGACATGTGTGGGCCATAAGTCAAGGCTCCATGCGAATGGTTACCACTTCAGATTATTCTACTAACATTTTTTGCCGTTCTGAATCAATTGAATACAATGTTGTATGCTCTGGGTCCTGCTTTAATAGGATTGCCTCGTCTTGCTTGACTTTGAGTAGCGTGCCTGAACAGTTGCATGTATGTGGGATTATTAAAACCGGTAATCAGATTCAAATCTCACTGAAACTTCTGAAAATTGACATTTTTCAAACATTTCTATTACAAAATAGTATTATGGAACTGGAAGTTATAAAGAATCATTGCACAGAAAGATTGTGCAAATTATTAAAAGGAAAAAGTTTACATGTATACAGAAATCAGAGTTTCCCCAAAATCTTTTACAACTCTAACCTCACCCAAAGCTACAAAATATTACTACTAGTAAATTGTAGTATGAAATACTTCAGCATATAAGTGTGCACAACACTCATAGTGTTCTGTAGCACCCAGGTCTTTATCCCAAAGAAATGGCTAGGACGTTAGGGGTAAGACTCATTATTGGAGTTTTTTGGTTTTGCTTGTAGGCGAAGGAACATCAGAGGCCAAAGGCAGCCCAAAACCAGACACCAACTTCACAAAGCTGAAAACTGCGAAACCCTCTGCCAAGCGTAAGTCAGAGGTCTTGGAGCAGCAAGCTACCTCCAAGAGAAGGAAGGTTGCCCCAGAAGAGTCTGCCGAGAAGTCGGAAACAGAGTTCATTGGGAAGATTCGCCTCAGAAGACGTAGTAGTAGATGGGTCATAAGAGGCAAGTTATAGTCATTGTCATTGCCGTGAGTACAAGTGTGAGTAGGAGTACTTTGCCATGAGTACTGTATGAGTATAAGTACATTGCCTTGTGTGCAAGGATGGGTTCAAGTATGTCTCCACAAGTAGAAGTACAAGTACATTGTAGTGGAAAAACAAGTTCCTAAAAGCTTATTGTGAATTGAGGTGAAAAAATGGTGGGAAATGGGTTGCCCTTTACCTGTTTGTACCTCCTAAAAATTTAAGAATTTCAATGGGAGATTATCTTCATGAGTACAAGTATGAACACATTGCCGAGACCATGATAACAAGTATGCAGAATGTTTTCCTGGCGAGAACAAGTACTCAAGTACAAGTACTAAATCGTTAACCTTTACCTTTAAAGTGCTTGTCTTTAAATCAGAAATTAGGAATCATAATAACCTGTCTAACATGTCAATTGAACAAAGAAATTGACTGGAGCGAGGTTTGAACCTGGGAACCATTCCTGCGCTCTAGCAACTAAATGAGGAGCCACCACAATAAGGCTGGCTAGCTCAGTAGAGCGCCTGAACAGTAATCAAGAAGTTGAAGGTTCACATCCGATTTCAGTCAATTTCAATCAAATTGCTGTGAAACCTGGGAACGTTTATGGCTAATTTAATCAGTTTCTTTTTGTTTAATTGCAGATGATGATGAAGAAGAAACAAAAGATTGCAAGGAACAACCAAAGCCAAGAAGGAGCTCCAGACAATCGGAGCAAGCGGTCAAGAAGGAGGGCGGTGCCACGGAGCTTAAAGAACGGCGGACACTGAGGACAAGACGAGGCAAGACGCCAGGCAAGGTAGAGGCAGAGAAAGAAGGATGCAAAGAGGCAGTGGAAGCCAAGACTGTGGAGTCCAAGGCTGGTGAGTAGTGTAGTAGCCAGCCCCTAAAAAAAATACACTTAAAAGTTTTATATTGGAATATTTCACTTCTCCAATTTATTGAATTTTCAAATACCAGTCAATGAAGCAATATTTAAAGGATTCTAGGCCTGCTCTAAGCACTGTGCTACTGCCATACTAAACCCAAACAATTTGATATATTTATCTGATACAGCTGTAACGAGAACCATTTAGGTCAGTAAAGAGTTGGTGCAGTTTTTTTGACTCATTTATGCTCAATGTTTAGAGCAACTGCTGTGCTAAAGACAAGCTATATCTGAGCTCAGTTCAATTGAGATCTAGCCTGATAGAGACCTGGTGTGTAGAGTTGGCATAAGGGGTAACAAAGCAATAACAAAAGCAGCTATAAAATTGTACATTATGATCGTTGTTAAAACTTTTCAGTTCTATCAAAAATGTAAGCCGTTAGTAAGCAGCAGTTAGGTATAATTAAATGATAACAAATTGATTACAATTCTACATTTTATGGTACATCACTGAATTGCAAGTGTATTTGGAATTACTGAAAACCTGAATCTACATATAAAGAGAATCAAAAGAAAAGTTTCTAAAATTTGAAAATAATTAAAACTGCTGAATCCTAATATGAATGCAACCTAAATACAAAGGAAAAAAAAATATTCGTTTCACTTGAAAATCTTACCATTATGGTAATAGACTTAATACAGGGTGACCCATACAAAACGCAACCCTGAGACATGTGCCATTTTTCAAAAATGTGATCTGTGAATTTGTATGTTTTGGATATCAGATTAAACCTGAGAGTTTTTTCTTTCAAATACTGAAAAGTCATAAAAACAGCACATTGGGTTGCTGAGAAAATGCCATTTATGTAAAAAAAAAAAAAAAAAAGAAGTGATTTGAACACAGAAACATTCATTTTAATAATTCTTTTACTTGTGCAATTTCTTTAATAATTGGACATATTTATGATGCTGAAAAGGTTTGAAATAGAACTAAAAAGGATAAGATACCTGTTCAGATGGAAAATAAAAGGGATTTCCATCAAATACATTAGTATTCTTGACATATATTCAAGCATATTTCCCAGCCATAAATTAAAACGACTTTATTCTTTGGTTGGGTCTCAGACAAACTTGCCAGTCTACCATGGACAGAGAAATACCAACCAATCACAGGTGCCGAGATCATCGGCAATGGACAGGCCATGAAACGACTGACTGGATGGCTGACAGAATGGAAGAAGAAAACTGCGAGGATCAAGAAGAAAATGAAGAGGCAACAAGGCAAACAACGGAGCAAGACCCTCCCAGGTAGAGAAGACAAAAGACCTGAGTCATAATGACATCACGCTTTATTTACAAGCGTGCTTTCTTACAGGAGCTCGGTGGCTCCGGTCCGCACCTGGCTCCCATACGAATATGCACAAGTAAAAGCATGATGTCATCATGTTTCAGGCCTGTTTGCAATGCGCGGTGCAAGGTCATGCCCATCCTTTAATTTCGAACAAGTTGATTTGAGGATACGATCATCCTTGTGGTCATGTGACAACCACAGGGGGCAGGATACAGTGGCATGACTGGACATACAGGGTGAGTCAAAAGAAACGAAACCCAAATGTCTGGACCATTGTTTTAGTGAAGTTCTGTATGTAGCACTTTCAAAATCTAGGATATGAAAGCCCAATTCATGAGGTTTCTTTTAGTACAAGAATCATTCAAATCACTCATGTACTTTTCAAGTTACGGAATTTTAAACACAACCACCGTTTTAAGGTCCTATCCACGGATCACAAAAAAGTTCAGTGTTCTTTCAGCAAAACGAAAACAAATCACATATAGGGATGTGTGTGAATTGTTTTCGTTTTGCTGAAAGAACGCACAGCTTTTTTGTGATCCGTGAACAGAACTTTAAAATGGTGGTTGTGTTTAAAATTCCGTAACTTGAAAAGTACATGAATGATTTGAATGATTCTTGTACTAAAAGAAATGAATTGGGCTTTCATGTCCTAGATTTTGAAAGTGCTACATGCAGAACTTCAATAAAACAATAGTCCCGACATTTGGGTTTCGGTTTTTTTTACTCGCCCTGTATTTGATTTGAAATGACACCGAGATAACCATGTGACCACAAAAATGGCAGCATACTTGAACAATTTCTGTTATGAAGAGCTGGCCATATTCGTTTTTGTCCATCACTTGAAAGTTCATTATACACTATGTCCATGAATTGCAACTTGTACAAGAGTTATGCTTTTGATGGCTGTTATTACGGAAATATGTTTGTTGTTGTATTTGCCAGAATTTCCTGCAGGAATGGATGAGCCGCATTATAGAAATACAATACATTGTTTTGCCTAATGTGACATGCCTACCCCTTTTTGAAATGGTGATGATCTTAATACACAGTTTATAAAATGTAGACACAATAAACGTATACATTTAATTAGTACCAAATAATTGGTAAAATTGGTAAATGACACTCCACTCTTTGACGGTGTTACACCCCTTTCACATTGATGTTCCAAACTCACACAAAGCCAACATATGTTGAAGATTTGAAGTAAGCAAATAAAAAGTTCAACGTTTGAAACATAGGAGCAACTACATTTATGGCAAAAGGTCCACCATGGGATGAGTTTTTATTGGATGAGTTTTGATTGATTACAGGGCAAATTGATTTCAGACCTCACTGTAATAAATGGAAAATGAATGTATAAAGTTGGCCTGCTTGAAATCAAAGTCTGTTTTGGCCGACTAAATATAAAAATGCTTCTTATACGTTTTAGTGGAGCACAACTGTGAAATCTTCTGTAAACCAGATGTAAGACTTTTTCAACTTTTATCATTTGAAGCCCATGTGTATTATAGAAACAAATAATGTGACAGTGACGTCATTTTATTGCAACTCAACACAAAATTGAAATTTTCAATAAGTCAAATTTGATAGTCCTTTATTCTTGATACATTTTTTGCAGCTTTGCCAATGGAAGACAGTGACAGTGACTTTGATTTAGGAAGCGACAGCGACAACAGCGATAGTGACGATGACGACGATTCGCTGAGTAACGCCATGTTGATTGTGGGTCCTTGCGGTTGTGGCAAGACAGCCGCTGTCTATGCTTGTGCCAAGGAACTTGGTTTCAAGGTAAGATTTGGTTAATAATGCTTTCCTTTTGATAAGAGAAGTTTTAACAAAACATTCAAAGTAAACAACTTACGCTGTCTTTACTCTACTCACATTACACACATACAAGTGTCCATGTCTCAATGAAGTTCTCAGTTTGATGGAGTATATGAAATAATTCATGGAAGGTTTCTTTTTCTGGTTCCAGAGGGCCAGCTGACAGTGCTCTTTGCGTCTATCTCATTGACCGACTCACTGACTGACTGTCACTTTTGAATTAGACCTGCTTGTTAAGCATCACCTTAGCCCAATATTTGACTCCCTTGACCCCTAAGATGGTCCAAATTGGTCTGGGCCCAGCTATATTAGGTTTGCCTAGTCTTGTATATTGGCCATAGCACATGTATTATATTCTTGTTATAGATTGCACATTTTGGGGTATCTTGTTGCATATTTGGAGGAAACACAATTTATGTCCCTGATTTGTGAACATCTGTTTGATTTTCTGAAAATGTTATTCGTATTGGACAACTTCTTGAGATTTCAGTGAATTTGTTTATTTTGGTGGGGTTTGTTTTTGCTTCATGATAATAATATGTTCATTTAAAAAAATGTTCTTGCATTTTCAGGTATTTGAGGTGAATGCATCGTCAAAGCGTACCGGCAAGCAAATACTGGCTGATTTGGGAGAGGCCACCCAATCACACCACCTGACGGCACATCACCATGGCAACAGCAGCGGCGCCCTCAAGAGTTTCTTCCCACTCAAGTCTCCTCCCAAGTCCGTTGGCAAGCCGGAGACCAAGAAGACGCCTATCCCAAAAGCCTTTGCTGCGTTTTACAAAGCAGGGGCAGATGCTGCAGCAGTCAAACTGGGTGGCAAAAAGACCAAAGGTGAGATAGGTTTTGTAATAGTCCACACTCAACAATTTTGTCAAAATTTCTTTATTAACCCTAACGCAGCCAGACAACATAGCGGATCAAGTGTAAAAGTCTGTGGGACCTGGCTGCATTGAGCCATCAACATCAGTGCAAAACAAAACAGCCAATTTTGAGACATTAAGTGTCCCATGCTACACTAAGCAGGCTTGTCATTTTGACAATTACTGCACGCTGCTTCATTTTAGTGGCGCACCCATGATTTGGTTTTGGGGGGGCTCAAAAAATTTTTTTTTACAAATTTGTAAAAAGTTGCATTTTTTTCAAACTTTTTTTGGCCGCAGAAAAAAAATTGGGGTTTTTTTGGAGGAGCGGCCTATTTTGACGTTGGTGGTGCTTTTTACACCCCTGTTATACAACTTGAAAACAGGCCACATTCATATCACCAAGGCCAAATCGTGGGACTAAAAAAAAAGCGTGGGACTAAAAAAAAAAAACTGACAACCTCTGGGGGGGGGGGGGTGCTCAAGCCCCCCAAGCCCCCCCCCCCCCCCCCCAATCTGATGCGCCACTACTTCGTTTAGCAGGGTTTCTAGAAAAAATACCCCAGGGGGCTAGGGTTGAGACAAAAGCGTAATAATCCTCGGTAACTCAACTTTGTATGTATGCATATCAAAGTCCTTGATTACTCAGTTGATGTAAGAAAAGCACAAATTGTTCTGCTCTAGTTAAGTGCTATTTCTTTGCTTATGCATGAGCGTGGCCTGATTTTCTAAGCATGAAATACTGGCCTGCAAGTTTGCCAAGCATAAAACATGTTGGATTCCAGATACATGTATTAGTAATGCGTATCATGTGACATAATGGCTGGTGAGCACTTTAAAGGTAGAGTAGATCATAATGCAGCCATCCAAAAAGCAACTGACCAAATTATTGTTAAAATGCTAAACTTGGTTTATTGATAGTAATGGCACTATACTCCCTGTGAAATTATTCCTTCTGGCATGATGTCATTTTAAAGGAAACAATAACAGAAGGTCATTTCCAAATATGAGCCAAGTGACACATTTTTAAAACTTCTGTTAGTAGTTGGTTTGTAATTGGGCGACTCAGTGAATAGGTGCGCACAAGCGTTAACACGGCGCACGTGCACGGTTGCTATTATTGATCAGTTGAGCACATGACATCGCATAGCTGCAATTGGTTGAATGATAACATGTTCCAGATGATGATTTCCGGCGCAATTCAAAATGTGACTCGGCAACTTTTGAATTGCAAAACCTAATTTGATTTATATCACCCCGACGCAAAATTCCATCTTTTAATAGTTTATGTGGTACCCGCTGCTATGTACATCAGATTTGAACCGGCCAACCGATCCCGTTAGCTCGGTGGTCAAGTGGTAAGCCATCTGCACTAGAAAGCAGGAGGTTGTTGGTTGGAGTCCCACCCGAGTGATTTTTCCAACTTTCACTCGGGAGGTAACATACTGAGTATACAGTGTTTATACGTCGGTGAAGGGCAAAACCTAATTAGATTTATATCACCCCGACGCAACATTCCATCTTATAATAACTTTTGAATTGAAATCAAGATTCTAGAATATTGTTTCCTTGGGATATACAGCATTCACAGAGCTCATCAGGTTAGTTGTTAAGAACCCATCTTTAGATTTGAGCACTTTCGTTGCTTCAAACTAACACAAATGATCTACTCTACTTTTAAGGTAGGCAAAACATTGCTGTTCATTGACAGCTCAATGAGAGTGGTTACTCTGAACATCATTTAACACATAAAAAGGTTTCCGAACTGCTGACGAAAAGCTTCCAAATAGACTGTTACATGCCTGTACAATCTTGAATTGGTGTGAAGTACATGTTGCAAGGAATGAGAATTATAAAAAATTTAAAAAATGCATATGCACCAAAGAATCCAAACTTTTTTTTGGACTGTGTATTCAAACTTTACACATTTTCTAGTAAAGAAATGATCCCTCATAAAAATGTTGCATTCTAGATTGGTTCATTTTCTGTGATTGTGATTTCCACAATTTTTCTATTCAGCTCCAACCAAAAAGAGCCCCAAAAAATCTCAAGTCAAACAGTCCAAGTCTGCAGCCCAGACCCCCAAGGAGGCCCAGCCACTGCAAGCCGCTGCCGTCATCTCTGGTGGATGTCAGGAAGGTGCACCAGGACAGAGGCTAACGAGCACGTCACTCATTCTCTTTGAGGATGTAAGCCGAGCAAGTCTTTCATTTTTTTTGACCATGGAGCTAGAGTTGGCTATTAGCTAAACTTACCCCAAGAAAGTCAAAACAGTGAAGAACATACAAGTTTTATGTGTGGAGAGTGCCTTTCCACTGGACATTTTGTTTCAAACCTTGTTTACTTTGCTGTTTGTGTTTATTGTTGTCTTTATTCAGGTTGATGTTGTTTTTGAGGAAGACAAAGGTTTCTTGTCGGCCATTGCCACATTCCTGAAGACCACTAAGAGACCAATCATACTCACCACCTCAGGTCGGATATTAAATTTGTTATCAGATTGTAATTAATTGATTTATATTAGAATTGACTGTATTAGGTATGGTTTCCTAACCCTAGCCAGCAACTTCAGATATTTATATGTACTCTGCTCAGGTTCATTCTGATTTTTAGTGTGAGTTGATGGATATTTCTTCGCGTGCTTCGAGTAACAAGGTCGTAACTCGGTTCAGATTTCTCTCGTCTCGAATGACTCCTAACTTTTATGGCACCATGTAAATTTTTCATTGATATGAAACATGCATAATATAATGTGTTCTGCATGTTTCATATCAATGAAAAGTTTACATGGTGCTGCAAAAGTTTTAAATTGGAATTAATCCAGATGACGCGATGATATACTTTCAGAGCAATTTTGAGGTGAAAATTTGGATTAGAGTCTTACTTAAAGATATAGTCCATCATTTGTAATTTGTGCATTTTGTTTGTTTGAAGCAACAAACGTACTAAAAATCTGAAGAAGGGTGCTGAACAACTAACCTGACGAAGTTTCAGCTCAGCTTCAGCTGTATATTCCGAGAAAAATAGCATTCTAGGATCCGATTTCATATCAAAAGTTGCTGAATCATGTTTTGAAATGGGCCTGAATTCAGCGTCCGAGACACGTTCTCCGCTTAGCCGAATGCAGCTACGCGATGTCGCGCACTGATGGACAAATTATAGCAACCGCGCGCGCGTATGCGTAGTGCCAACGCTTGCACGCGCTTCGCAGAATAAAAAAAACCGAACTACTAACGGAAATTTCCTATGGTGCGTCTTAAGACGCACCGTTGGAAAGGCCTTCTTTCGTTGATTTCTTCAAAACGACAGCTTGCCAGAAGGAATAATTTCACAGGGAGTTTAGTTCCCTTACTATCTTTCAACCAAGCACGTTTTTCAACAATAATTACGTCAGTTACTTTTTGGATAGCTGCAAATGATGGACTATAGCTTTAAAATTCTTACTCATTTTGACTATTAACCATTATCTTCAAGCAAACTTGAATCCTCGATCCTGATTGGTCAATCCATGGTGATATTATAATCGCACGGTCCGTTGCGCACTCCGCGTATTTCGCTATTCCAAGATGCGAGCGTCATTTCTGCTTCATGCGCTAAACTGCTAAAAGGTTCAAGTAAAGCGTGCTAGTTTCTAGTTCCAACTTTACTGTGTATCAAGTTTGCTTGAAGATATATTTGTTATCGCGCTCGTGTAACACGAAAAATGTAGTGCCTCCGTGTTCCACTCGTGCTCGCGGGATAACTAATAATATAAACCACGTTTTTATTTTAATAATTACAGATGGTCGATTTCCTGAGATGTTTGAGGAGAGATATGAAATGGTGACATTCCGGAAACCACCTTCTGTAAGTTTGTTAACGATGATGCCAAAGCCAGGTTTGCATTGGACTCAATCGAAGAAATTTTTCCGCACCCTGTAAAATGTACCACTGTGGAGCTTAAAACTTACAATCGACAGTCCACACTTGGCAATTTGGAAAGTGTACTGGCTGTCTTCACTTGACTTAATTTGTTAAGTGGACACCAGTCTTGATAAGTTTTACCAGTCCAGTGCAAACATGGCTTTACCCAGGAGTATGAATGGATACCTGTGAGGGTAGAGGACCGACTGTGCGCTGATATCGGCTGCTGCGTGGTCTCATGGCCTGATGAATGGAGGAATAATTGTAAAGCACTTTGAGATCGTTGATACGATGGAAAGCGCTATTATAAGCATTACAATGTTGTTATTTTTGTATGTATTTTTTCCAGATGAATATTGAAAATGCCTCCTTAAGCCACATCTTTAATGCTTACCTTTGCTTCTTAATTCTTCTCAGTCACAACTAGCCACCCACCTTCAGCTGCTATGCCTGGCTGAGAACGTCAACGCATCCCACGCGGACCTCCACCATCTCGTCTCACTGCTTGACCGTGACGTCAGACGCTGCTGGCTGGCTGCACAGCTCTGGGTCAACTCGGGAGCAGATCAGAGATCAAAGGCAGAGGACTCGGACTCTGGTAAAGCTCAAACAGTGGACAAAAGCTCAAAGGTTCTTGGCGAGGAAGACACGGAGACTAACAAAGGCGATGGTTATGATAATGCGGTGACCAGGATGCATGGCAATTGTTTTGAAAGCACCATGGGATTGTGCAATCTGTCTGGTGGTGGGAGTGGAGTCTCCTCAATGTTAAAAGTAAGATTCAAACTTTTTGTTACTTGGTTGTTGTTTTTTTTCTCCCATTTAATTCACATACTTGTAACCAGCCGAAACAGCCCAGTGTTCTGTTGAATAACAGATACTTGTTCTCTTATTAGTATTTGATTTTTTTTCTAGTTAATATGTTTGATTTGATTTAGGGGCTTGAACCTGCGACCTCTGGAAGTTGCAGGTTCAAGCCAGTCAATTTCTTTGATCAACTTTAAAAGAATTTTAATGCACCTAGTAAGTTTTTTTTGGCTAGTGTGATTAAGCAGAGTTGTAGAGACTAGAGTCAGTGCTCCAGCAGTAGTGAGAATTGTAAGGATTTTTCCCGATTTCAGGATTTTTAAAGAATTCCTTTTGAAAACTGGAAAGTTGTTTTTACCTACATTTATAAAAGTTTTATAGAAGTAAAGAAATATTTATTTTTAGGGGTACCTTTAGGCGAATACAAACACAAAGACCCTATGATGCATTGGGGCATTCCGGCAACCCTCAAACCACTCTGCCGATTATTTGGTGGAATTTTCATTTTCACATAATTTTTGGTGGCTTGGATCACCGAAATGGTGGTCAAATTTCATTTTGTTACACATACACTGGATATTGTTGAGAAATGTAGTAAAGGAACATAACATTATGTGTTCATAAGATGGAATTTACGTCGGGGTGATGTAAATTCAATATTGGGTTTTGCCCTTCACCAACGTATTTTATAAACACTATACTCGGCGTTGCCCAAGAGTGATTGTGAGAAAAAAATCACTCAGGTGGGACTCGAACCCACGACCTCATGCTTACTAGTGCAGACGTCTTATCAATCGACCTCCGAGCTTGCAGGATCGGTTGGCTGGTTCGAATCTGATGTAGCAGCGGGTACTGCAATAAAACTATTCATAAGATGGAATTTGCGTCAGGGTGATGTAAATTCAATATTGGGTTGTTCCCTTCACCGACATATTTTATAAACACTGATGTTTTGAAGTGATTAAAAATCTGTCATCTGCACGTGTGCTTAACAAATGGCATATATATTCCGTGAAAACTAGTTAAGGAAAGTCTTTTGGCATTCATGTACAAGCATTAAGCTATTAAATTCCTGAAAGTTAAAATGCCTCAGTTCGCCATCGTTTAGGTAAATAACTTTGTATTTTTTTTTGTATTTATCAGATACACAGAAGTGATGGATCCTACCTTCACACAAGTTCTGCAATCACTGAAAGGTTCCAGAAAGAAAACAATGCATCTGTGTTCTTCAGAAACATTCACACATTGCTACCTCCATTCAGTTCAATGGATTCTTTCTGTGCAAAACAGGAAAATTCAACTGACCAATCACAAATGGACTCCAAACCTCCGGCGTCCAATGGCAGAACTGCTACATTGTTAACCCACAAATTGGTGTCTTCGCTGGCCACTTTTGCAGACGACATCTCGTTCTTGGATTCTCATACACTTTTCCCTCGGCATGATGGGAAGGGTCTTAGTGAAAATGGCTGGTGGGGGGCAGAGCTCAAATCTTCACTTTTACTGGATCCTGCTGAATCTGACGGTCCCAGTTGTGTGATGCTAGACACTGGTTCGTCCATCAGGGGTTTCCTGGAAGCTGCTAGTTTTAACCGTTGCCATAGAAACTATGAGAAGGCTGTCAACCAATTCAAGCACTTACATCGGTTGCCAAGAGACAATTGTCATAACAACATGCAAGAGGAAACACCACAAATGATTACAAAACCAGCTGAGATTCAGTCAAGATGTGACCAAGACAGAGAGAGTGTCCTGAAGCTGGATCAAGATGATTGCACAAAATGGTAAATTCATCCTGCCCTCCCGAGCATTTTGATTATAACTTTCGGTAGTTTAAATTGAATGAAAACAAGATTTGGCCAAGTTAGGGGACTCCATTGTCATGATTGTAGTTGAAAAGTTAAACCAAGTCGGATTTTGAAAATTGCTTCGATCATTATTAAAACAAAACAAAAATGTTCCTTGTGAGATGCCGGTGTTGCCTCATGATATTCTACCAGCTTTCAAAGAATATTAGAATCCAAAATACTACATTTCAGGCATGAGATTTTTCAGGCTGAAGTCTGAAATCAGACTTTTTGCAGTTGAGAGAAAGAAATCAGTATTGCAAGAAATGCATCTTTCAGACCTTTCATCCAATTTATAATTTTGATTTTGTTAAATTGACAATCTCAACCCTATTTGATCATTCCTTCTAACAGCCCAGATATCTACTCGACCATAGTGAACAAACTACCACTGTCCGTGCACTGTAATCACCAAGTGTTATCCATGGAGTATCTGCCGACATTAAGATGCATGTGTCGATCAGAGCAGATACGCGAAGAATTGAAGATCAAACGAAGGTAGGTATAAATTCAACAAGTGACAAGTGTGAAGAACAAGAATATTACAGTATGTAAAATGATAACCACTAGGCCTACTTTCTACCGTCCAACTGTAGACGTAATATCAAGTTGGCATACACTTTGAAATTTATAATTTCACTAGTTCACAATATCAGCGCATGTAAAGTCTATTCGATACATGTGTTTGGTGAGTCTATGCATGTAACATGCAAAAATACCTGTAACATGCAAAAATGCCTGTAACATGCAAAAATGCCTGTAACATGCAAAAATGCATGTAACATACATAGAGATGCCATGGATCTAGTGTTGGCACCCATGATGCAGCATGGAGGTGTGCTACGTATTACGGTTATGCAGCCGATTTCACGAACTATGACGCAATGGCGCAACTCCGCTTGCGCCACAATTGCGCGTAGCTTGTTCAATCATAAAATGACCTAAAAGGTGGCGTAAGTTGTGGAGTAGCCACTGAAAATTACCTATTTCACCAGCAAATTGTGATCGTTGTGGAGCCTGTTATGGAGTACCGAAGTGAATACATCACGCGCACAAAATGTGTGTGAAAGACATTAGCGCGTGATTCAGCCCGAGAACCAACACGTGCGCGTACTCCATTTTGCACTACACTTTCTGGTTCTAAATGACGTCACACTTTGGTACTCCATTGCACAACTTAGCAAGGCTGATGTAAGACTCTCACAGCTTTGTGTTTGAAGGGAAAAAAATGCTATTTCACTCGCGAAAGGGTTTTTAGAGTTGCCGCACAAAAGTGGCAAACTGTTTCGTGAAATCGGCTGCTGGAGTTAATTCACCATTAAGAGCTTGAAAAAGCACACCTTTAATATCAAGACCTAGGCTATGCACGTACTGTTTGTGCTTTAAAAAAAAATCAGAAATGTTGTTTAGAGCCTCACACAGCTTTTAATGATAACACAAACTTTATTCAAAGTGAAAAAGAAAGAAACATAATCACATGTCTTGCCATCACGTTGATAAAATTGGCCCTAATCGTCCATGTTCTAGTGCCAGGGCAGGATAGATCAGTCTCATGTGCCTTTGGGTAACCACAAGGAAAATATTATTTGCTTTTTTGAAGATTTCAGTATTTAACTAGAAATGTAAAGAAGTGCCTACACCCAGAATTGTATCATTAATTGTTTATATTTCTTAAGCCCGGTTCATACTCGGCGCGAAAGCGAACGCGAATTTGTGACGTCGTGGGGAGTATTCGCGCTGCGAATTCATAAAAGTTGAACACATTTCAACTCTGGCAAATTTCGCAGCGAATGTTTCAAGGGAATATACATCATTTGCTTTTGCTGTAATTTTCAGAAATGGATGGAATTAGGGGGTAGGAAATATATAGCAAATATAGTTACACTGACTTTTTTGAGGTTTTGGGTTCGAAAATGCTATAAAAACCAAGAAAAACAATCATTTTCCTGTAGTCTGGTTCCCTGACTCCATTTAAGAAGAAACAGAGCAGTTTACATATATTGGGGAATTGTAAGGTCAGGGAACCAGTCTAGCTGGCTTGTACCCGTTCATAGGTGTGTAATCGATTGCAAACAAGTGCGATGGTCAACTGGGGCCAGTATTTGAAAATAAGCCAGTTAAATTGAAACAAAAATACCACTTTTCTTGAAAATGACAGTATACCAGGTGCCATGATTTTACAGGATGCTTTACACTGTCATTCAGCAAGGTATTTCAAAATGATTTGGTAGTTTTATTTGTTGATGTTTGCAAATGTTGTATTTTCCCTTTCATGACGTCTAATTCGCTACGTATTCGCATGAAGTATGAACCGGGCTTTACACAGCACTGCTAGGGTGAGTTTTCAAAATCTTTGAAAATATTTTTAATCACCCTTATTATCATGGAATAATTCCTCTCTCATGTTTGTCTTCTCACTGTTAGATTTCTACACTACCTCGACTCCATCTCTCTGAATCTCAAGAAGACTGACCAGATCACCATGTGCTCAATCATGGAGGCGAAGCAGCCAGCCAACACAAGATGATAAGCCAAAGGAAAACGTGGACGGACTGTAGAAAGTATGATCGCAATATCAAAGCAGCCTTCTTAAAATTCTTAAGAGTTTGCAACGTGAATACTTACAATGTACCATGGCATCAGAAATTCGCACCCATGTTCACTTTTACGCCGAATGTGAAACTGCTTTAATGTGAACAACGGTTGTGACAACTTTCTTAAATTCCCCTGAGAATTATACATGTATGCTAGGTGAAATCTTGTTGTCTGTAAACCTTTGGTACCAATTCATCATGAAGGACACAAAAATCCAAGTAGAGTTTTGTGAAGAGATGCGAGAAAACGCATCCTAAATCAACAGTGCTGTCGCAAGTGCATGTTTTAGGCAATTTGTATTAGAGAACACTTGAATCAAACAATATATTGGGTTTTTCAAAATCAATACTTTGGGGAATCTGCTTTTTTGGGAATACCGATCTGTTTTGTAGTGAGGTTTTTTGTGTAAATATTTGACTTTTTCATATTAAAACATTGTATTGTTAATTGGAGAATCATTGTTTGCAAACCAAATCATTCATATTGAAATTCAAACAATAAAAATGTTATATTTTTAACAAAGTTTTTATGACCATGTTTGATATAAATTAATAAAACTAAACATTCATCTGAAAGCAGCTATCTTGATTGTTGATGTTATCAATAATGCATTTTCAAATTGTTTATGAAAAATGGTTAAACATATTAATAGGTCATTGGGGAGCAGCTTTGCATTAATTTTTTTACCCTAATGTTTGTGGCTACATTTTTGTATTTATTAACACCCAGAAATGAATGAATTGATTCAAACTACAAACTTGTCCTTACTACATGTTGGCTGCTAAAAATGTGACTTCACTCATGGTCAACTCAACACATGCTGACCAGCGTGGCCCAAAAATGTCAAAGATTTTTAACTATGAAGGGCATTATAATAAGGGATTAAATGTGTGCTGGGGAGGTTTTAATCACTCTGTTTAAGACCGCTTGGAGTCTGGGTGCTGATAATGGATGACTTCGGGTTTATTGAAATCGTGTTACAATAAACAAAAGCATTATGGAAATAGGAGTAAGAGCTCGACCAAGCTTGCTTTTTATAAAAAATACAATAATGTTTTCAATAAACTCAAGCGTATGGCCAAAACTTTGTATTATCAAAATAAGCTTAATGATTTAAAAGGCAATGCTAGAGAAACTTGGCGAATTCTTAACTCAATGATTAAACTTAGTCCTAAACACTCTTCTGGGAATTAGAGTAGTATTATTTTGAATAACAGCTTGATTACCGACCCTAAGGACATAGCATTTTTGTTCTATAGGTGAAACAACATGTCGGGCTGTTCCTTGGGCTACATGTATGAATGGAAATAAAACAAACAAACAATTACCCCAGCCGAAGGCGAAGGTATTTATCAGCACCCAGACTCCAAGCAGTCTTAAACAGAGTGCTTAATACCGACCAAGCACATATTTATTCCCATTAATAAATACCTTTTCGGTAAAAAAATATCCAAACTTTTTGGTCAAATAAAACCAATTTTGTTCAACAAGTTCACTTCATGTTTTTTTAAACACCCCGCTAGCTAAATAATGGGAGTGTCCAGCTGGCGGGTAAGATGTAAACAACTCCTTTTATGGAGATTGGCGAGCGCGTCGCGCGTACTGCGCGATGTGGCGCAGAGTGTACCTGGGGCATTGCGTTGTGAATTTAGGGCTATAAAATTCTGACTCACTGGCAGTATTGCGCATGCCTATGCGAGGATTGTGAATGTTCAACCAATAAAATGGTAAGAGGCACTGGATTTTTAGGAGTCCAAAATTCATGTGACACTGGGAAAGTGTTTAAGACCAGCTAGCCGTGTCTTTATCATCCGTTTAAGACCGGCCACGTGACGGGCTCTCGACCAATAGGAATAGGTAAACTGTCTTAGGTAGTTATGAATGCAAGTTTCGTAATTGGTTTGACTCGAGTCTGGGAAGCAAAAAAATACATGTACATGTCACTACAATTGTCAATCTCACCCAAAGTGGTCATCTGCTGCAAAGCACTAAATCATTTTCAGGTATCGAGCATGAAAGTTTGTTTCCTTTCCCATTATTATATCAAGTAAATAAAAGATACTATTTTGGGACTGAGTTACAGAGCTCGTATCAGGAGCTTGCGACACCAGTCGTACCCTCTATCTCTGTTCATATGGGGGCGGTGCCTGCGGATTTCCACAGCTTCGCGGATATTGCGTTTTCAGGTACTTATAAAAACTTTGACTTTAGGTTGTCAAATTGCTGTCAGTGAGCATGAATGTTAATCGTTTATGGCGTGGGTTGCAGGGAATGCTCAGGACTTGGCCAGGAAGTGAACCTGAATTGGGGAGATAGTGAAGTCATACAGTCTGCAACGTTCCAAAAATGAAGAGTTTGCCTCGCCTTCAATTCAATATGGCCGACTCGTAAATAAAGTCTATTGCAGTATTTCAAGTAAGACTTAATTTACTGCAAGATAACTGGAGCCCAGAAGAACCACATTTTAAATTTGTTTTTCTTGGGGGGGGGGGGGGGGGGGGTATAGCCTAAATTGGTAAAGTGATGTCCCATAAAACCAGATAGCTCCTGCTTTATTTGATAACTACATGTAAAAGGGTAATGTCAAGTCACTGCAATAGTTATGGTGCTTTGCAATAGTTATGGTGCTTTCCTCTTAATAAGTTTTATTTATAACACACTCCCATGCTACAAATGAAAGTCCAATCGTGAAAATCTCCAAAGGAAGGTTCCAATTTTTAAATGATTCCATTCCAACTGATGGCGATTGGTAAATTTGGAGCGAGAAGACGGTGACTTGAGTAAAGACTACCATCATACTTTACAAAGCCTGGTTATGATTCATAATCTCGTATTTATTCAAACATCTTTTGTAAAACAGAAAATAAACATGAGATAGTGCTAAGTATATATTTCAAGTCTAAACGCGCAACTGCCGTAAAATGTGTTTTGGAAAGTCATGTGCATCAAATTTTTAAACACACATGGTAAAAAACACACTGACTCAAACATTGTTCAAAAATAGATATTCAAGTATGTACATCATTTGACATAAGCACAAAATACAGTTTAAATAATCTTAATTACATCTGTACTTGAATTCAGTGATTTTTCATTAATATTATTCATGGAATGTGAGAAGCATTTACATTAATTTTTCAGTAACAGAAAACGTGATTTTCTCAATTACTTTTACACATTCAATTTAGTTGGCAGTCTATATTTCTATTAGTAACCCCGAATGTTATATCATTTAGAAAGCCTTTGTTCTGCAGAATGCAGAAATAATATCTCAATTCTTAAAAAACAAATGAAATAATTTCATCAGCTTTATCACCAGCATCATTGCTACCCACATATACTCACGACTACCACCAAAATCACCAATTATCATCACTTTTTGGATTTCAAAATGACACAAAATGAATATTTTTGCATATCAACTGTCACAATGGAAGACTATAGACTGGCATATGGAACTATTCACTAGGCACACTGGGTTTTAAAACAAATCTGAATTCTACTAGTACAAAGTGCCAATGATCACTAAACTATTATTTTGCATATGAATGCTAGATGTACATGTATGTTTTTGAGCAGATTGAGCTACTAATTATAATGCATTTGCATTTAAATAATAGCCCTGAGTTGTAATGACATATACTGTATGTTTACATACGTGCAATCTAATGGTTTGCACTTTAAACAGGCATGCAACTGGGAATTAAGAGGTGAAAAATGAGGAAACTCAAAGACTGTACAGTATTTTTCAATTTCTAATGGCATTCATGACAACTAAAAAACGAGGCCAAATTAGCGGATCCAAGGAAAAGTTGCATGCCTGTTTAAACACACTATTTCATTACTGTCACCAATGAACAACTTTTCCTGGCAAATCACACAAAAAAGAAAGATCACAAAAATTGTAAACCTACAAACCTCGAACTTACTGGAAAAAAATGTAGAAGGCTGCTACAAAGTTTGTATGAAATAAATGGTTGCTATTTCTAATACATGTACCATACAAGTTAATTTAAAGCAAGGTTAATATTGGTTTATCACTACACACCTCATACTTGGAGTGAATGCGAAAGGCAAATTTGTGACGTCATGTCAAGATTTTGAGATGTGAATTCTCAAGAGTTGAACGCATTTTAACTCGGGCAAATTTTGCTGTAAATGTTGTATGCGGTCAAATTTGCGTCGTATTAACATTCGCATCAAATATGATCTGGCATTTACACATTATACAAAAAAATATCTTTAGAATTGATTTAACAGAATTTAAGTTTATGTTTGCAAACTATTGCACACAATTTTATTTTCATTATAATTTAAAAACCGGGAAAATTATTGTTTGTACATGCACCTCAAAGATCAATATCGCATAAATGACCAAAGCCAGAAATAAGTGAGCTGCTACTGCTAATTCTTTGAAAGTAAATAGTCGAACAGATTCAAATATATCAAAAAGGCTAATTTCAGTTTGGTTAGGGAGTTTTATACTTGAAAAAATCTGTGATTTTTTAGTGCCCAACTATGAGGTTAGTGCATCATGGAGAAAGTCAATATCCATTGTATTTGACCATTTGTAGTCTTCGTGAAACTACGTTCAACAAAGCTCCATTTCTTTTCAACTTTTGTTGGACAAGTGTGATTTAGGTAAGAATTTCACCTATGAATCAGGGTCAGTATTTGCAATGCTTCCTGTCTGTGTGATACTGTGGGTAAAACTGCTGAACAATTATGCAGAAGTCAACTGCGAAATAAAAAAGGGGTCTCGGCAAGGCAATTTGCTTAGTGGTGCACTGCATACACCAATCCCAGTTGCCCACTTTTTGTGATTACTGGACTGGCTTTCCACAATTACTGGACGCTCCAAATTAAAGCCCGCTTTGTAGTTCTCCCAATGCACTCCCCTTTAGTGACGTGTTCAGAGATACAGAGCGCATGTGTGATGGGTGCTCAGGTATGGAGGCGTCCCAGTAATGGCTACCAGAACTGTCACTGTGACTTCAAAATCGGATTCGTGTATTGTGAATCCCTTCAAATTTAGGTTCCCTGGACCGTTTTACAGTACTGGCAATGATGAAATGGGCATGAAAAGGTTAAGTCCTGTACAGGCTAATGGTCTCGACTTTTCCAGGGAATTCCCCTAGCCTGACACTTCTGTGGCAATAACCCACAACTCAAGCACCAACCAAAATTTGTTGTCCCAAAAAAAATATGATTTTATTCATCACTTTGGAGTTTCATCACAAGTTAATTCTCTCCGGGGATGATATTGTGACTGAGATAACAAAAAGGTCGGAAATTGGTCAATGTTGATGCAAGGGCATGTGGTGTGGTGTGGTGTGGTGATACGTGGTCAAAAATAAAGCAAGCTGCTAATGTAGCATTCGAGGTACATTGGCATTGGTTTCAAACCTGAATACATGTTTTGCCACACAAAATAAGGTCGGAATTCTACCAAAAATCAGAAGAATCTCATCCCAGTACTATTAATACTTGATCCAGTAATGGAACAGCAGAATCGATGAAATGGTAATCACACCCAGTATCCCCCACACCAAGTTATTCGGGGGTGGGGGCTCGGTGGGTCTCATTGCCTGATTAATAGCAGCATTCAGTTTCTGGATGGTTACGGTGATCGCTTGGCCAACGTTTCCTGTGTCCAGGCTTGGCTGGGCAGCAGCATAGATAGATGACAGGGACTGACTGGGGAGAAGGCTGTCGAAAGCATCACCAAGGGAGATGTAGATCTACATTTGCAGAAAAAAAAATGAATTATTCATAAAATGAATATCTGCAACAGCTTATCCGTTCCTAAAAATCCAGTCACTTGGGTGCATATTACAATTGAACAAATGTTTAAAGCTGGTATCGCAACCCCACGCTCCACGCCACAGGCTGAGAAAATGCTACTACAACTGAGAAATGCTGGTAGAGTAACTAGTGCTCGAGTAAACTGAATGCCTCCTTACCATGGATATGGCCCAACATGGATAGCAAAAATGGTTAAACAAATCTTTGGATGTTTGTCAACTCTTAAAACTGGTTAGGGCCTGGTTGCGGATAATAGCCCTCACTTTGGCTCCAGCCATTTTAGCGATGGAAAGAAGGGAAAAACAATTAGGCCATAATGTACATGACCACATGTGGTGGTACATGTATGTGTACCGTACCTAGCAGTTTAATAGGACCCCATGCATGTCCTGTAGAGCACACTGTGAGGGAGAGCCAGTGAACCATTTGCATACTACTAATCTGTGCAGGTGCACACGTGCACCAATGCACCAACAGCATGTTAATGAGTGCATAGGACACATTACTGGTTTTTGTACGGGAATAGCATGTATAAATGTGCACCATTAATTACCCATGCCATCAATTTTAAAGTAGGCACAATGCATTAATAGTACAGCTTGCTGTAGTAACAGTGTGCTAACTTGCAAATTCCATAATTAAACATTTTGTCTTATGAAAATCAATGTTCAGATTAAATTGCTCATATGTGCCAAATTTCATTCCATTTTGTCGCTTCACGCCCGAGGTACGAGGGTTTCTCCCCCCCCCCCCCCCCCCCCCCCCCCCCCCCCCAGCTGTGAAGTGGTCCCAAAAACCTCGACCCTCTTAGGGTCAAGGGTGCTAGTCAGAGGCCATCATTTGTTGTGATGGATACACATGGTCTCGTCATCTCAACTATCCACACCCAGTACCCCGTTTGACCCTTCCCATTAAAATGCAGTGCACCTACAATATTATAAACTGCATTTTTTGCAGCATGTTACCTTTGAGCAGTTGTACATGTAATGCGTGAAGATGAGGGCGCTGTCGTCACAGGTACGGTCGCTGAACCAGTCTTGCCTGACTGCATCACCAAATCGCTCCAGATGATAGGTCCGATTAGCTCTGAAAGGCAAGCAAACAAAACACACTCCATATTCTAAATCTAAACCCACACTGACCACACAAGTTAAATCTTTGAGTAAGGCCAAAAAAAAATATTCGGTCTCTGGTCAGACCAAAGTTCCGGAATTGACGTGGGGACGCGGCTTCTTTTTTTTTTTCTTCAAGCTTGGATTGTACAGACAAGGTGGGGTACTATTTTGCTTTTTTGGTGTCCTCATGAACATTGGTGTCCTCCATAATTTGCCTTGGTGCTCTCGATCATTTGCCTTGGTGCAATTTCCCATCGCTGTTGGAGCTATCGCGGAACATTTTGGAAAAAAAAAAAATTGACGCGCATGATTAAAATCGACGCGCGCGCTGACCAGAGACCGACTTTTGGCCTAAGGAATAAATTGCTTTGACCCTCCTATGCAAACATACCGTACATTCTGCGCCAAGTTGTCCAAGTTGCTGTCAAAAGCAAACAAGTGACTGTTTTTAACAGTTAAGAGCTCCCAGCCTACATAAAGCAGGATTAACTGGCTGTGACTGTTTAACTTGATGCAGCTATGCTTTGACTGTAGGTGATTGAGAAGCCAGCTGTGTCTACTTCCTGCATGCTTTTGTCTGTTGACTGAATTTGACTTGCCACAATGCTTGCATGAAATATGATCTGACTGTTGGTGTCTAGCCTGTGTAAAAGGCATGGCTCTAGGATTTATTATTTTTTTACTGTTTGTGACTCTTCAAACAGCAGGCGGGTTTATATGTGTACATACAGATGGAATTAAAACTACATGCCACGACACATGGGCTGACATACATGTATCATCAGCTCATTGTCTCATGTTGTCACCACATGCAACCTGGACAACTTCAACCCATCCATCCCTATCTAAGCCATCGTATCTCACCCAATTGAACCAATGTAACCCATCTCAACCCGCACACCAATCTAAACCCAAACAACCAACCATATGCCTAATCCTACATGTATTATAATGCTGCCTTACCCAACCCATTAACCAAGCCCACCCTAAACGAACCCAGTCCATCCCAACGCATCCCAACTCATCCCAGCCCATTATTTTAGCCCATGCTCGTTTTCCAACCATAAACCAGGAACAGGTAATGACTTGAAAGCGAGAAAATGCTCACACTGCTGTGTTTCAAATGAGGCATGTGCAGCAGAAAGAAGACTGCCGTTTCACTGACCATCCATGGTGCGGTATGATAGTAAAATCTGTCCATTTGAGATAAACTTTTTGCGATAGTAAGAAACTAGGGTCAATTCTAAGGTACTTTGTGTACATGTAGATGACACTCTGTTCCATCCTGTCAAACTTTGTTTTCCCCAGGGATGTAGTCGAGTCCGTCACAAGTCCAGTCACAAATACGGTGGATAAACAATAAGAAAGGAATGCCTTTGTCAAAGCTCATTTGAAAAGCTTGTGAGTTGAATTGGGACTGGAGGAATTGTGATGGACACGGAAGGACTTGTGATGAACTAGACTTCTTCTCTGATTTTCACCAAACACTAACCCCTTCTGCCAACACAAGAACATTCTAGCACATTACTCATCCCACTTTTCATGTTCTTAAAAAGACCATGGCACTAACCAATTATCTTTTATTGCCGTATACAAAATTTACAAAAATATCATTCAGTATTTGTCAAGACGACAACAAATATTGTCTGCTTTACCTCAGCCATTCAGCCATCTTAAATTCATAACAAACCAGCCCCAAACTTTGGTTCTCTTTAGGTTTGAACAATGGGGAGTCAAGTTGGCGTAGCGGTTCTTTCCCCGCCTTCCACCACTGTGACCCGAGTTCGAATCGCGCCAGGGCCAACATGTGGATTGGGTATTCAGTCCCTACCTGATTCCATGAATTTTCCCCACAATATTCTTCTTAGATTTTCCTTCAACCTCTAAAACTGTAATTTCTTCTCATTGTCTACTCTCTACAGGTTTCTTCAGGCTTGTGAGCTACAGTGCCTAGGGCGCTTTTGCGGAATCCTTGGTTTCATTACCAGAAATAACAGTAATAATAATAATAACATCATTCAGACTCAACCAGTCTTGAAAATGCTCAACCAACGACCAAAGCCCAAAGAGGTTTCTGGTTAGGGTTGCGAAAACACGCCCCAGTTCAACCCAACCCATTCCCATTCAGCTTTCCCAAACCAAATCCCAGCTACATGTACATGTATCCTTGCCAACCCAAATAAACCCACTTTACAAAGCCTAACTACTTCAGTTTGTAATATTCTACTCACACAGATAAATCTTCTTCCAGACTTGTCACCACAGCCACACCCATTACATATCCCTCATCATCAGCAAGCTCAAGTGTTGTGTTACCGCTGCAGTTGCAAACACATGAGGCATTGGCATTGATGCTAACCAGGAGAGAATCAATGCTGTCAGCTGTGCAAATGATAAGGAAACAAAGGACATGAAGGACAATTTCAGTAACTTAAAGTTCATCACAAAATTCGCCAGAAAACGTCCTGGTCGTCGAAGTACACCGCTCTTTAAACTTGGGAGTCAAGATAAAATGGATTGTGAAAATGCAGAAGGGCACACGAATCAAGCTTGTTTCCAATTAAGTTCTCCATGACTACGCCTGACTTACCCTGACCTGCCGTGTATGACCCAAACCTACATTACTACTGTGCAACACTTTGTTCTTTTTGGTAGGGAGGGAGGGGGGGGGGTTTCCCTTACCCTGTTCCTTTGGAAGCACACCATCCACATCACAAAACCAAGATTTCTCTGTGCCCGGTCGTCGGCATTGCTCTGGGTACTGCCAGGGGTTTGGGAACTTATCCCCCACCCTTTCTGTCACCCCTTTCGTCATTGCTTCTACCACTCCTTCTGTCACCCCTTCTGTCACATTGTCTGCCTGCTCTGCAGCACAGTTCACAAGCAGATAACTAAAACACAGGCTAAGGAGGACGCACACCACAGAAAATCTCTTGGAAGCTGACATTTTACAAGGCCTTCTGGTGGAGGAATTTGGCGTAGCTCAGTAAACAGCTGGTTTCTCATGCATCAGAACTGAAGACAATATTGCTCCTCATTTGTAAAACCTGTAGATTTGGAAATTGATATTATACTGATCAATAACATTTCTAACGAGAAGAGTTGATGAAAACGTCCGAAAAACATTTGCCTACATTTGCATTAGTGACATAAGCCAATGATTCAATAATCCTAAAATATCTCTACAAATGAATTTATTCACAAAACAGGTTTTATTGCATTTCATTTGGGACTAAGAAACTTCAAATTTTGTAAAATAATTTCACCACTTTCGCTTTTTAAAATGCTACTGATAAATAAACCCAAAATTAAAAGATAACTAGACCTCTGAAAATAATGAATTCCACGGGTTTTTTTGCTATTAAGCAGTTGTACTTGTTTGTAGACGTGATTGTGTGATTATAAAGAGACAAAGTAATTCCATTTGAACTTAATGTGGTTTTCTGCTCCCCTAGCGACAGGACCTTCCACGCACAGGGCATATGGCCATTAGTGGCTGATATACATGTACGTAGGAAGTCCAGTATGTCAGCCACATGTATGGGGCTATACAATATACCAGCACTAAATCTAGGGATGTCACTAGATATACATGTATATATATCTAGTAGTGACTTCACTAGATATATAGCCCTAGTCTATGGCCCGCACTGGAATAGACTCTGCACGCAGGGCCATACATGTACGTACATTGCTTCCCAAAGTTGAGGATTTGAACATAAAAAAATATAAAAAATTATACTCAGAATGTGGGTTCACTTACCCATACCCCTCAATATTCCCCCAAAATTAAGACTTCCCCGTGCTTCCTTTTGGTGAAATTTGTTTCTTATAAAAAATTACTTTATCAACCAAAGAGGAAGTTCATGACAGGTAGCTAGCCGAGTATAAGTAGTCTGGTTCTGCTCCGACCACAACATTTTCCTTTCTACCCTAACACCCTAGTACATGTAGTTCCTCAGGACTATCCTGCTAAATCTAAAAGAGTTTAACTCCAACCGGAGTTTCCTGCTCAATCCACTGTGCCTTATTTGGAGTTGTCTGCTGAATCCAACGGAGTCCAACATGGGGTTATAATGCGGTTCAGTTGCCTGCTGAATCCAACATTTTGCATCAGGAATGTACACAAGGGGTTTACTGCTCAATCCAACTGGATCCATCGGGTATATGCTATATGATATAGTTGGATCCTGTTGGATTCAGCACGGTTAGATACACACCTAAAGGGCACTGCGCCTGGTTATGGCCGTATCATATCCGGAAAAAAAAACATCGCATGCGGGATCAGAACAGCCAGCCAATCACAGTGCGTGCATCTTGATTATTTATGCTGAATCAAGACGCGCAGCCCTGTGATTGGCTGGCTGTTTATATGATCCCTTATGCAATGTTTTGCCGCCGCTGCAGTATATCATGTGCGCACGTATATTGTACGGCTAGCTGGCTGACGGTACACACATGATTATGAGGGCGCACTATACAGAAAGGATTAGCGCGAGGTCATTTTTACATTGTTCAATTGGACCGAGCTTGCAATTGAGTTACACACAAACTGATGCCAAGAATCATCCACATTTGGCTGGAAATTACGCAAAAGCTGGACAACTGTATGACATCAGCAGCAAGTTCTGAATTTGTTATTAACCCTCCCCCCCCCCCAACTTTTTCCGCGATAGCCTTAAACAAAACAATTTTAAATTTTAAAAATTTTTCGGCGCTACGCGCCGTGAAAACTGAACTTTCCCATATACGTCGTGTACACAGAGCACAATTACCATATGAATAATTAATTAGTCATAATTCCAAAACCCTTTTTGACCTACAGTCATGAAATTTCTTGGGTACGTTCATGATGAGTAGCTCAATGCATGTACTGAGTTTCAAAAAATTTCGTCAGTCGATGGCCGAGATCTTGGGGGGGGGTTGAAATCTATGCCATACCGTGCCACGCCGTGCAGTTGGCAAGTGTGACTGTAGTCCGAGTAACTTGGACCCAACTTATCGCCTTTTTTAACAGTCGAACATGGTCTGGTATGTTAAAAAAGGCAATAAGTTGGGTCCAAGTTACTCGGACTAGTGTGACTGGTGGTTCGTTGTGTGTGCATACCGATACTTCTAGGGGTATGCATGGTAATCGACAGCGCATTGCATTTTGTCACATTTTCGAATTCATTTTTGTACCTGCCAAATGCCTGCTAGTCCAAATTAATAACTTCCTCCAGCCCTAAATGACAACCCAATTTAGGGCTGAGTAGCCCCACTAATGTGGCCGCGGTGTGCTGCGCTGAACCTCTGGCCACACACCAGGTTATCGCACACTACTGAGGAGGTTCTCAAAAAATTACGCAAATTTTCTTAAGTTACATATCATGGTTGTATTCTATGATGTCTCAGCTCTTCACTTCTGGGATGCTTAGGTGTAATAATATCCAATTTTTCGAGAAATTTTTGAATCTTATATGCACGCGAAATCGCCCATATGCACGCGAAAATCATCTGTTGATGGCAGCCATTTTGAATGTATGAAGCAATGACCCCAAAGCTGTGACGTCGCGCTTATGCGAATTGATCTTGTCGCTCAGGCCAGGCACGCAAGTTGCGATGCGACGGCTGTTTCTTGTACAATTGATTCGCCCATACTGTATGGCTGCGCGCTATAATACTATCGGTTGAGAGATTGTACAACTACAAGAAACAGCCGTCGCATCGCAACTCGCGCCCCTGTTGAGCGACAAGATCGATTTGCATAAGCACGACGTCACAGCTTTGGGGTCATCGCTTCGTACATTCAAAATGGCTGCCATCAACAGACGAATTTCGTGTGCATGTGGGCTCCAGAAAGATTCAAAAATTTCTCGGAAAATTTGATATTATTACACCTAAGCATCCCAGAAGTGAAGAGCTGAGACATAATGTATGGGTCGCCTAGCGCGACTCCTAGGCGTACCGCGAACTTACACAGCACTCTTCATCAGGAAACAGTCATCGGCGCGGCGCAGGGGAATCTGCCGTGCATTCAGTGCATTGTGCGCAAGCGCGCCGTCACGACCTTTGCATGAGGTCGAGGTCAGACACCATTACCCAATTGGGAACGCGTACACACAGCGTATCATGCTGCTGGAGTTACCCAGCCCTGAGTTTTATCATTGGGTGTTACCCAGCCCCGAGTTTTATCATTGGGTTGTCAATTAATAGAGTAGGGCCAGATGACTGCCTGCAAATTATGCAATTGTCAATTTTTTTATAACTTTTAACTCTCCTGTTACGAAATTTTTTGCCCCAGTATTTCACATGTATTATCTTGACATGGCTAGGTACCTATAGGGTGGGTTCAAATCCCTGGAAAGTCATACCGAATGTTGAATTTTACGAGAATATTGCTTACCAAGAAATCTCCACTCCGTCGGCCCGGCTGTCTCATCGTTGGCTGTCGACTGAGGGCGCTATAGGATTTTTGATCTATGGCCGTGTCCGAAACGGGCTTCCAGAGCTACGGCTACGTCTATTGTCAGCGCGTCCCCGCGTATTTTCAATGGGCGCAGACCTAGACCTAGCTCTAGACAGCTGATTCGGATGCAGCCTATCTCTAGTTTTCTGAGCTGATGCAGGTACTTGTTAGCCCTGTCGAGCGCAATTTGAGTGCACCGCGCAAGTTTAAACTTGGGACGTTAAGCCGTAGGTCCCGTGTGTTGTATAAATGCACGTAAAAGAACCCAGTAAACACTTATCGCTAAGAGAAGGGGTTTGCCCCGGTGTTTCTGGCCTCCTGTATAAACTCCCACGTGGAGTATTCAGGAGAAGAACCAACCAAGAACCAAGAACCCAGACTGTGTAGAGGTTCAGAGATAAGGGGTGGTAAATGCGAACAATTCATGCACTTTGCATCATCATGTGTATTATTGTTTATGGCTCATTAGGATTTTGTCTAATAAACAACATGTTGAATTAATTAATTAAATTAATAAATTAAATTAGTTAAAGGGAATATACATCATTTGCTTTTGCTGTAATTTTCAGAAATGGATGGAATTGGGGGGTTGGAAATATATAGCACATATAGTTGCACTGACTTTTTTGAGGTTTTGGGTTCGAAAATGCTATAAAAACCAAGAAAAACAATCATTTTCCTGTAGTCTGGTTCCTTGATTCCATATAAGAGGAAACAGAGCAGTTTACATACATTGGGGAATTGTAAGGTCAGGGAACCAGTCTAGCTGGCTTGTACCCGTTCATAGGTGTGTAATCGATTGCAAACAAGTGCGATGGTCAATTTGGGCCAGTATTTGAAAAAAAGCCAGTTTTTTCCAACACTGGTCGGCCGACCAGTATTTTTAAAAACAAAATGAATTATTGTACCGTCTCCAATTAATTAATTTTTAGATTAATTAAATGAGTATTTTTTTAACAATAAGTACTTTTTTAATTGTACAGTACATGTAATAAAATTTAAAGCATTTAAAAAATAATGTAACTGATTACTATAACGTCAAAACTTGAACAATTGAAGGGGACATAATCATTCTTTTGACGTTAACAACGGGATACCCCCAGGAAATTATGATTTATTTATATTTAAGAACATAAATAAAATGCTAATTAGTTTAACAAGGCAAAAAACTTGAAGCTGCTCTCCATTATTGAACAACTTCAGTACACTTTCTAAGCAATCGCCGCTAGTGTGCTTATTGATTGCTTGCCCGGTCCCCTCCCCGCCCCCGCCCCTAAAAACTTCTCTGATAAGCACTGCTAAATCTCAATGTTTCTTTTCATTGACGCTAATTGAATTCCCCTTTTTATGTATTTCTTTGTTCATTGATTTATGCAATTATTGTTAATTTATTTCTGCATGTTCTTGTGTTTTGAACATTGCTTTTCTTCATCAATGAAAATCCCGGCCGCAAGGTTCTCAAATTGCGATCGCCTTTGCGCAAGTTGTAACGTGCGCACGCAAATTAAAATGGCATAGTGTAATTTGCGTGTTCACTTGTGAACGAAATATAGACAGATTGAATTCATTTACACAAAAGTCAAATTATTAGCTTCCAGATATAAAATCAGCTCTCGCAAAATTAAAGCCATTTTTCAAATGATTGCAATTGCAGACGCCAATTATCGGAACAAAGTTTCGTTAAAACAAAATAAAAATTCCAATTTTTTCAAGAGCAGGGGTTTCCAACTTTATAATTAACAAATATTTAAGACGTTATTGCACAGCACCTTCAGAAAGCATTTGGTTTTTAAACAAGATTTGAACAGTCCAACATTGTTTTTCTTGAGCAGAAATTAAAGCAAAATGGGAATTCAGCAAAGTGGTAATGGGGCGAAGTGGTTCGGGGTGTACTGGCATCAGGCGAAATGGAAATTGGGTATAAATGGAAATGATGGTAAAGCATTTGCAAAACAAACTAGTTCTGGAAGTACATGTAGTTCGAGTAACTTGGACCCTACTACCGGTAATTGCCTTTTCAGTATTGGGACATCACCAGATCATGTCCTAGTGTTAAATAAGCGATAAGTAGGGTCCAAGTTACTCGGACTATTCTAGAAAAGTAGCATTTTATCGTTCCCTTGGCTTGACGCCTGGATTGACGGAACATTCATGGGACTGGGGGGGAAAAGGAAAAATTGAAACATATTTGATGTTTTTTAAATTCAAGCATTACAATTGTTTTTGTTTTTTGTTTTTTATTAGGAACTTTAAAGAAATATGGAGTCTGCTAGTTCTGCCAACATTGAGCCTTCATCTTCTGCTGAAGCACCTCTTGCTCAGCCACTTACCCAACTGCCCCTTGCTCAACCACTGCCTGCCCAATCAGCTCTTGCACAACCACTTGCACAACTGCTTGCGCAAAACACAAGCTCTTCTGCAGTTGAATCCCTTGAGCTACAGATATCTAAAGGCCAAGTGCTAGATTACATAAAGGAACACGACAAACATGCATGTGAACTGTGGTTACGATCAACTTATATTGACAAATATGGGTCTGAATCGTGTGCAAGCCTGGAAGCATACAAGGGAACTGTCAGGAAAGTGCATAGTGACTATCAGAAGGCAAATATGAGTAAGCGTCGCAATCCTGATGAACTTGAAAACCTAAGATCTTCTCCCTATCGATTTCCTAGGAAAAGCATGCCATCAAAAAAGCGTAAACGGTTTGATGATATCTTGCATGCTGAAGCTGCTGAAACAGTTGCCTCTGTTCTCCATACATCATTAGAAGAAAAAGACCGTGAACTTGGGGCCGCACAAAAGTCATTGGTAGAAAAGGACTATGAACTGGATGTTGCCCAGAGGAAAATTGCTCATCTCACGTCTCTGATTACTGTGAAAAATAAAGAGCTGAAACGAACAAGAGGTAACAGAGATTACTACAAGCAGAAGGTAGATAAAGTGGAGACAAAACTGGAGGCTGCTGCCACGAGTTGTGACGTTCATGATACGGAATTACAAATGGCTTTTGACACCATAAAAAACATGAAACAGGAACAACGTGAGGCATCAGACACAATCAAGACTCTTGAAGACCACATAAAAAGACGAAAAAGCAAGACTGTCGTCACTTATACCGGAGCCCACTTTACCACAGAATTCACATGTCTTGTGCACAAACTATTAGAGCACCATGTTGGCTATAACCATATTGGGCTAGTCATCCAGGAGTGTTTAGAATTTGTGGAAAAGGTTCCGTCAAAGTTGCCATCAAGATCAACTATTGTTAATATGAATGCAACAAGGTTAGGGCTTGATAAACGGGCTGATAAGGCTGCATCCGAATTGGCTGTCTAGAGCTAGGTCTAGGTCTGTGCCCGTTGAAAATGCGCGGGGACGCGCTGACAATAGCCGTAGCTCTGGAAGCCCTTTTCGGACACAGCCTAACTAGCAAAAACGCTTGTTAGTGGCAATTAGCATAATATTTGGGCTTGGACCGTATAATGTAAACTAAGGTATTTTTGGAACAACATAGCCCCAGAACACCGTGACTTTGAAACCAATACAATGTAACGCCTAAACAACGAACATCGCGGGATCGTAATAACGATCGTTCGGTAGGCCTATAGCAGTTTTGAAGCGCCGGTACCCTTTTTTGACCAATAGTGAAGGGCATTCTCACATCCCTCGGCCGCAGGAGTCGTCGTCACGGGTGGTTTTGATGTTCGGAATTAAAAGTGGTCCAAATAGTGTTTAATTCAAAAGGTAGATTTTTAACAATGTTTGGTACATTTTGCACATTAAAATCGGGAGCCAAGGATGATGTTTGGTATAGCCGAATGTTCGGTATAGCGGTGTTCGGTATAGCGGTGTTCCACTGTATGTAGTTGATTTTATCAAACAAACCTAAAATACATTATTGCTAATGGAAAATGATTCAGACATGATTTGGTACTTTTGAATATTCACAAATTTGGTGTAATATCACTAATATAAATATAATATTGATCAGTAATGATAAATGGATAAACCTTTCGATGTGCACATTGCATCATGGGTTCGGACGACAAACAAGCAATGCAGTTTATGCACTAGGGCAGTTAACCAGTCAAAAAAGACGAACATTATTCCTTTCCAAAGCTTAATTGGTCCTCACTTCGCTAATGCATAGAATGATACCCATTATACTTTCGAAATAAAAGTCAGATTGAAACTTCAGAAATTTAAGATACACCAGTCATCAGGCCCAGAGGAACGATTGTAATGTTGGAGGCATGAGCTTCAAATCTTGATTCTGATTGGCAGGTCATAATACATGAGTTTTAAAAACATGTTGTCTGTTTCACCTTCATTGCATTCTGATGTGGTTTTAAAAAACAAGTACCAAGTGGTACAACCCAGGGTGGCTGAGTAGCAGAGAGGCTGGGTAACGTGTGAAGACGACTATACGGCACCGTCCGTGCACCCGGGCCGCACCGGTACCTCGCGATGAACATCTGTGATCCCTTAAAAATTTCATTAAAAGTCCATTTCTCCGTGAAAAGAACCTTTAAGAGATGTTTCACGGACATTTACATGGGGCTTATATATAGGACTAATCCTGTAAGGGTATTTTCACGGTTTTTTAATGACCCTGGCCAATGAGGATTATCATTGGTTATACATAACGGTACACTGGGTCTATCTCCATGGGTAACAATTAATTAAGGACTGTCTTAAGGGTGTTTTCACGGACTCCTGATCTGGCTTAATATGTTGAAAAATCCGTGAAAATTAAGTTAACTGTAATTTCAAGGAAAAAATGTCTCTTCAACGAATTTTTAAGGGATGAAAATGTTCATAGTGTCGAGAGTACAGAAAACGAAAAGTAATGGGGCGTGATGTAATATGCAAAAAGTGCAAATTAGATGCATGCGCAGCACTCTTTGCAAAAGTGGTCTACCAATGCAAAGCTGTAATACTTGAGTTGTATGAATTCAATTTATGGCCGATTAAAGTGTCCACCAACAAACCAACCCACAACCATCACCAGCAGCCCAATTAATAGTCTGTTAAGGAGAATACACGAGAAAGTGTGGATTCGTAATTTAAGAAGCGCCGAGTGAATTCGTAAATGAATCCACACTTTCTCGTCTATTCTTGACTTAGGCCTAAACCATGATTGCGTCAACAGAAGTATTGGAAAGAATGTTGCAACCTGACGCCACTTTTTTCTTCATATATCATCTCAATGAATATCATTCGTTGCAAAAATGACGATAAGACATAGGCCTTAATCTGGGACTGAGAAGTGTTTCCAATTTCGTTAGGAAATACTTGACACGACTCTCCATAGACTTTGTACACAAGCGCGGAAGTGGCGTCAGGTTGCAAGTGTATCGCCACACCCGTACAACCAAGTCATTTTGTGTGTATAGGTTCCTTACGTCAAAATGGATAGTTCAGACGACGATTTCTTTCTGACTAAAGTAGATTTTGCAGTGACGGCGGAGAATCTGACAGTGAAGATGTATTGGTAATTTTCGGAAAGCAAATTTTCACGCAGACGGTCCTATTCATGCTCGTTATGATGGAGAATAATAGTCCGACGTGTTCAAAGTGTGGATTCGTAATTCCGAATCCACACTTTACTAAAGATTCGTCGTTCCGAATCCACACTTTGTGACCAGTGTAAGAGATTTGTAGATCCGAATCCACACTTTTAACAACTTAGTGTGACGTCATAGCAATGGTTTAAGAGAGCCGAGAGAGGTTTAATTAGAATATCGCGCACAAACGGTTTGATGGTGGCAGCGAGTAGCTAGGTGGGGATGTCCGACCGTCATTCTTAAGTGTCACACCCCGTGCGTTTGGGAGGGGACTCCGCCTAAAGACCCCCAAAAATGGACTTTTATTTAGAATATCGCGCACAAGCACGGTTCCAACGCGAAATGATAGTATTTGATTAACTTATCAATGACCAATAACTTCAGAATGAGAAATCCCGTGCATTCCATGCTTAAGAATGGCCTAATTAGCGCTAATTATTGACCGTTAATAAGAATTTTGAGCACAAGAGCGAAACCATCACTATTAGGTAATTAACATGACTGTAACACAAGATCCACAACTTAAGAATGGATATTCGCGTGCAGTTTGTGCTTGAACGAGTTAAAGTTCAGCAATTAGCCGCCCGCTAAGGAATTATTTTTTTATGTGTTTAATAATTATAATGTTGAGCACAACGATCATTCCGACGCCAAACAAAAGAGTATAAGTCAGCGTTTGCAGAATTTCAACTTAAGAATAAAAAATCTCGTGCAAAATCTACTTAAGAACGGCTTAATTTACCGCTAATTACGATTGTATGATACGGAGCATTATGAGGCCTCTCGAAACACATTTTCTATTTTGCGGGGGTTAAGGTCACTTCGTGGTGACGGTGACGATATATGCAACACAACGGATACACGGCAGACCGAATCCAAACCCAAGATCCAAGACCATCTCCCGACCAAAGGGTCACCTTTACCCAAGGTCAGCCCTATATATAGGTACAATGATGCGCTGGATGAGATGTTAGTAACCTATCTATGTATGGGAGTGTGTATACCTGGGGGGAATTGGGTATATATAGGAGACCCTTTGGAAGGGAGATGGTCTTGAATATTGGGTCTGGATGCGGTTGGCCGTCAGTTGTGTTGCATAATTATGCGGTGCCTTCTTGACATGGTGCGGTTGACGGACGACTTGACCTTAAGGCAGAAATCGTAATTTGTAGAGGTAAGCAGTCGGTGTGTGTGGGTTTGCGGTATGCACAGCAACTAAGGGTGCCTTCTGGTTATCTGGAGACCTCAACGTCCAGGAATGAGATGCGGTCTTCTTGTTCCTGATCCATTGTGAACCGGAGATGCCCCGTTTGCCTATATATACCTAAACTGTAAATCGTGCAAGATTGACAACGGTTTATGAAACATGATGCAGTTTGAAAAGTTGAAAATCAAAGATTACGTGAGGAGACATTGCTAAGCGGAAACACACACGACTGCAACCATGTTTACGTTGCATACGTAGTGTGGACATTCCTTTGTTTTCGTGTAGTTAAACAAAACCTGTGAAAAATCATTTTACTCACACTGTGAAAACTCTTTGAACGCATAGTGTTTCTTCCTTCACTTTTGCCACGGATACACCTCACCCAAAAATGCAGTCTACACCTGTTTTCCAGAGGGGGGGGGGGAGCACAGTGTGGACGTGGGCAAGTCCACACAACGTCGCTGCTATACCTGGTCATGTGGACCTCTTTTTTTTCTTCGGAAGTCTGCACAGTGAATGTAATGCTGGGGTACAGTGCCCGAACAAAATGCGGGTAATTCAATTTCATGCTTCCATGAATACAAGCACCGTACGCAATTTTTACTCGCGTAGGACCTACTCTCTACATTTTCAACTTTTCAAACGCATAATTTTTCATTAACCATTTTCAATGTTGGACGATTTACAATCCTTGGTAGCAAACGGAGTATCAAAATGTAGCAACAACATTTCCTAAAATGTTAAATTATGTTACAATAAGACGATCAGATTCAAAAATTATGACCCCTCCAATGAGTTTGGACTATCTATTTGTGCGGTGTTAATATCAAAATAAAATAACATACAGCCTAATATACACCATACATAAAAGCCGAAAAAAAAATCCTCAATTGATCTACAACAAAATATCAGACGAACCATCAACCAAATAACAATACAAACAAAAACTACAACGACGTGACCAAATACATTGTAAAACAGGCCAAACAGGATTTGCAGAACTGAATCAAACGAATGAACGAAAAAGTCACAAACCAAAAAAACTGCACAAATCGTATCAAAAAAAACATTGAAATACCCAAAGGGGTCAAAAATTCAAAATGATTGTAAGAATAAATCAAAACACACGAAAATTCCAGAATCAACCGAAAGTATTACAACAGTATCACAAGCCTTTCTTAGGGTACGCTATCTTGAAAATCCGAAGCGACGCAAACAACGCAAGCATGGCGGCTAAAATAATGTGCCACGGTGAACGAGTGACTGTCGCAAAGTTATAGCAGATTGACAATCTTACCAATTGATGCATAGTTCAAAACCCCTAACACCAATCTGTATTCAAGGCAGGTCATGTCTCATTGCTTTTTAAAGAAGGATCTTTTTCATAAAGCCCTAATATTGTAACCAAACTGAATCTCCGTACCGTCACCGTCATTAGTACTAGGAAGCTGCAACACCTTCGTCAATGTCAGACTTTAATTCTCAATCACTATTTTTTCATCCGTGGCCTTTTCCGTGAAGTGTCTTTCGCACAGGACCTATTATTTTCTCAGAAATATTTATATGAGGGACTGCATGGAGCCAAATACGAACAACATTCTCCTCCATGCAGCCACTGGTCGTGCACTGTATACGGTACCCCGATTCGTTTACGTGCGAAACGTAAGTATGTTTAGGGATATGATTTAATTATTCCTACATGTTGATAATTATGCGATTACTTGATTACTTATGTTAAAAAGAAATTGTAATGTATGTACATGTACATACTAATATTATTATTTAATATTGTAAATGTTTTATACCTTTTACCAACATGAAATAAATTTGCAAATGTTTGTTTAAAACATAGGTTACTTATTATGTAAGACTTAAGTAATATTATTATTTAATATTGTAAATGTATATACCTTTTACCAACATGAATTAAATTTGCAAATGTTTGTTTAAAACATAGGTTACTTATTATGTAAAACTTAATTAATACTATTATTTAAAATTGTAAATGTATATACCTTTTACCAACATGAAATAAATTTGCAAATGTTTGTTTAAAACATAGGTTACTTATTATGTAAAACTTAATTAATATTATTATTTAATATTGTAAATGTATATACCTTTAACCAACATGAAATAAATTTGCAAATGTTTGTTTAAAACATAGGTTACTTATTATGTAAGACTTAATTAAAACAATTCATGAAGAAAAATTAATAAAGGTTTACAAATTTAACGGTCACAGTCGTACTGCAGGTAAAGAAACAAGGTATTAATGGAAACCGAATCCCTTTGTAATCACATTGACATTGTTCAACTGAAGCACTATTAGACTTACCCCACCCCCCACCCCCCCCCGAAAAAAAAAACAATAAAAAGGATTACATGTTGTATGTTGTATTCATACCCTATACACTGTGTTTTCTTCACTCAATTTGTACATCCTTTTTGACTTTATAACTTGAATACTCAGTCAGTTGAAAATATCATATTTATATCGCGTTTGATCAAGCTGATACGAGAGCAATTTAAAA